TATCAACTTATGTTTAATGTATCTAGACTTAGTTTTGAATTGTACTCGAATAATTATTCGGTAATAATCTCTTCGTTTTGGTAAATAGTCTCTTTTTATTTATGAAAAATATACCAATAATCTAAGAAATAATATTAACATACTTGTAGTGTAGGTAGACTTGGTTTCAAATTGTACTCGTAATATAGTTATTTGGTAGCAATCTTTTCTTTTGGTAACTAATATCTTTTAATTTTGGGAAAATATATCAAGCAGAATCATCTAAAAAATAATATTAACTTACGTTTAATGTATCCAGACTTAGTTTCAAATTATATTCTTATTACAATTATTAATTTGATGATTAATGTTTCCTTGTCATATGTTTGTCAATAATTACCAAAAACGTGTTTATTTTTCTGAAATTAACTATACGTTAATTACTTAATTCAATTTAACAATTTTACGTATTAGTAATAAATTTTTAACTGTTTAATGAATGAGAATTTTGGTGACGACACGTGGCATAATTGGCTAAACTTGCTCTCTGGGCGACAAGTGTCGATTAAGAACTCTGCTTTAATATATATAATAACATATATATATATAGATTATTTCTAAGATGATTGGTATATTTTCCATAAATAAAAAGAGATTACTTACCAAAACAAAGAGATTAATTACCAAATAATTAAACGAATACAATTCAGAACTAAGTTTGATTGCATTAAGCATAGGTTAATAATATTTTTCTGATGATCCTATTTGATATATTTTCCAAAAATAAAGATATATTAGTTAGCAAAAACAAAAAATATATTAGTTACCAAATAATTATACTACGAATACAATTCAAAACTAAGACTGGATAAATTAAACGTAGGTTCATATTAATTTTCAGATTATTCCATTTGATATATTTTTCAAAAATAAAAATAGATTAGTTATTAAATAATTATACTACAAATACAATTTGAAACCAAGTCTGTATATATATAACATAGGTTAATATTATTTTACAGATGATTCCATTTAATATAGTTTTTCAAAAATAAAAAGAGATTAATTTAAAAAAATAAAAGGAAATTAGTTACCAAATAATTATATTGTGAAACAATTTAATACCAAGTCTGGATACAATAAATATAGATTAATATAATTTCTCAAATGATTTTATTTGATACATTTCCAAAAATAAAAAGAGATTAATTAATTACCAAAAATAAAGAGATTAGTTACCGAATCATTATATTATGAATACAATTCAAATTTAAGTCTAGATACATAAATGTATGTTAGTATTATTTTAGATGATTCCATTTGATATATTTTTCAAAAAAAAAAAAATAGTTACCAACAATATAAAGATTAGTAATCAAATCATTATATTACGAATATAATTCGAAATCAAGTCTAGATACACTAAACATATGCTAATATTATTTTTCAAATAATTTCATCTGATGTATTTTCCAAAAATAAAAAGAGTATGGTTAAGTAAATAAAAAAAGATTAGTTAGCAAATAATTATACTACTTATGTACACAATTGGAACCAAGTCCATATACATTGAACGTAAGTTACATTATTTCTCAGATGATTTCATTTGATATATTTTTCAAAAAAAAAAGATTAGTTATCAAAAATAAAAGAGATTCAGTTATCAAATTATTATGTTATGAATACAATTTGAAACTAAGTTTGGACACATTAAATGTAGGTTATTATTAATTTCTTTTTGGATGATTCCATTCGATGTATTTTTCAAAAACAAAAAGATTTGGAATACCGAAAATAAAAAGAGATAAGTACCAAATAATTTTGCTTAGAATACAATTTAAAACCAGATATGGATACGTTAAACGTAGGTTAACATTATTTTTCACATAATCCCATATGACATATTTTTTAAAAATAAAAAAAGATTAATCACTAAAAAAAATAATAAAGAGGTTGTTCTAATTCTCTCCTCTCATTTCCTTCCCCTCCGTCCTCTATCTCTTCCCTTTCCCTTCTTCCCTTCCATCTGAATTTCCTTTTTTGTCTGAAAGGTATACACTGACCTCTCTCTATTGGGTTGTAATTTTAGATGGATATTTTTCATTTGTTGGTTAAAAAGGGAGTATGATGGCTTTCGATTGACATGGTAAGTTATCCGTTTAATATTATTAATAACTCAATGTTTAGAGTGATTATTAGCATTTCGGTTGATTTCTTAATTTTGCATGTGTTGATTGAAGGTTCGTTAACTTATTCCAGTGTGAATGCTTGTTGACGACCTTCCATCTGATTTTTGATTAACACTGAGTAGTGTGGTTGTTAATTATAAAAGGTTCATCAACGAAAAAAAATCTACATGATTTTTTCCATTTGTTACGAACTGTTAACTCATCATTTTTTTCTTGCATTTTAAGTTTCGACATTATAAGGAAAAATTTGGTACTACTGAAATACCTTTTCTTTTCTATAGGGGAGGCATTATTTTTTAAACATTCATTACATTTTCCTTGTTAAGAATTATTTCTATTGTATGTCAATGGCAAATATTTATAAGTATGATCAGTTTTATTTTTAAACAATCACGAGGTCCTCATTTTGGTATGTTTTTGCACCATTGCTATTATTAAATTTCAATGGGTTGAGTTTAAAAATAGTTATGCATCAATCTCGCTCTAAATGAGCCAGATAGACTAAAACAAGATTGCTCATGCTCTAGAGTCTCAAGGTAAATATATATTTTATTTGAGATATCAGTAGTTAAACATATTTACTTTAAGTGCATGATCATCTATGTGTTTTGGTTTTATAAGAGAAGTGTGGCACCATGATGGCAAAAGATTGAAATAAGTACCTCGAAAAGCACTCATAACCAAGGAAAAAGTTTGACGAACATGGATATGTATTTCGAAATGATTTATTTGTTTTTTTTAAAAAGGTTTTCCTCCCCCTATTTTTGTGTTTTATTTACTTTTGTTGGAATTTTCTTTTTCCATTTTGCTTTATGCCTAAAAAAGATTATTTCTAATATTTGATTCCATTACTACAAGTAAACAATATATGTGTTTCAGTTAATATATTTTTAGAATATACACAATTTAATTTTTATTGTTGAAAATAACTTTTATATACTTATATCCCTAAACAAGTAGCATAGTAGACAGTTGATCATATTAATTCATATTTAATTATTTTTTTTGATATACTAACACTCCTAAACAAGAAGCATATTAGATAACTGGAACATATTAATTTGTAATTTAAAAAACCCATAGAAGTACTTGATTAAAGTCGTAAAAGTATTGGACCAAGTTAACTACGATCTATGATTAAATCTGCATATGGGCATGTAGTAATGATTGTTAGGAGAGGTTTGTCATCTGAAAGGGACCTACCCGATTCGAAGACGGATTAGTTGGAACAATGACTTCGAACACCGGATGCGCTATATAACAAAAACGGAAGGGAAAAAAAACATATGATACTCTTGATTTCGGACTCCGGATACTTACTATACGAAAAAACGGAAAAAATAAAACATATGACATTTTTTATAGAAAAATAATAATATATTAATGTTACTCTAAAATATATTAAAATCCGCCATAACGTGCGGACATAATATTAGTTGAACTATAAATAAAAACTCAAATTAAACAATAATAATGGGACGGAGGGAGTATTTTTTTCGTTCCGAAATGATTATGGAAGATAAATAAATTTTTAGATTATTATACCTACATAATTCAATGAATTCTTCCATAATTTGGGTACAATCTATCCAAATTTAATGCTCTTATATCCCAAAATTATTGTCCAATTTAATTTTACATTTTTAGTACAATTTAAATTAAAACTGAAAATTCAAACTGAACGATAATTTTGGGGCGGACGAAGGAGTATCTCCTAATCTACAATCATCATATATAAGATTGGATCAAATCTTTTTAAGGCAGACAAGTGAAGTGCCAATCACCGCAAAATCAAAATCAAAATCAAGTGCTTGTTTGGACGTCAGCTTATATTTCATTTTACCATTTAAAAGTGGAAAATGTTTCAAGTTGAAAACAAAATGGGAAATGAAAATGTTGTTTGGATGGTATTTTGAGCAAAAAGTTGTTTGGATGTTGGTTTTGAAAAAAATATTTTGAACTACATTTTGAAAATATCTAGTACGAGTCATCACTAAACAATTAAATACTGTCAATTATAGTCACTGCAAAAAAGAACTTTTCTAAAAACAATCACTCAACAACGAAATCCTGCCAAATTTGTCACTGAATTATTTGTAGTTCTAAAATGGTCATTACACTAACAAAAAATGTTTCAAGTTGGAATTTAAAATGTAAATAAGGCCGTTGTTTGGATGATGTTTTCTTTTCCATTGAGTTTTGTGTTTAAGAGATAAAATGAGACAAAATGCAAAATGGAAGGTTGGCCAAACAAATTACAAATTTCTAGAAAGCTACTAGGAGGAGGAATAAATCTTCAAACGTTTGACCACCGTTGAAAGTCAAACTCGCTAAAAAAAAAATTTCCGACACAAAAAGCACACGTTTGATACAAATATCAAAATTTGATCGAAAAATTCCACATCGGCCAGAAAACGTTAAAAAGAACCTTCAATCTTTCACGTTTCGCACATCCCAAGAAGAAAGAAAAGGAAAATTTTGCCCATGCCACCTCTTCCCCTGTTCCTCCCTCTGTCACTTTCCAATTCCATGATCCGCACATATATATAACACCAATTCATTCACAGTGTAGAAATCCAATTCTAAATACAACAACAATCTGCCCACCCACCTAACCTCTTCCGCCAGCTGCTCTCTAAAATTATATGCATTTCACTATCCCACAAAAAAGGGAAACTTCGGCCTACTTAGCATTTATCCACGTGATCCCTCGATTTCATTTTGTTGTGATCGCATCCTTATAAATTTATCATCTTTTCTTGTCCTTCTTTCCCATCATTTTGTAAAAGTACGGATTTTTTTTAAAGGATTTTTGGTTTTAGATACTATATCATGTCGTCTATTGATCTTGAATCGTTGTCGGAGGCCGCCTCTGGGGCCGTTGGTGCACTGGTTAGTACCACTTTGTTGTACCCTCTTGATACCTGCAAGGCTAAGTTCCAGGCTGAGCTTCGTTCCCATGGTCAACGCAGATACAGGTTTGGGTTTTTTTCGTTTTTTTTTTGGGATTCGTGATTGTTTTCTCGTGTTCTGAATTGGGATCGTTTTGTTTGTGATTGCAATTTCATTCATTTTTTTTAATTTTTTTTTTGGCACTTTATGGGGGTTTGAAAGATTGAATTTTGCGATGATTTCTTTCGTTCTGGGTTACGGGCTTGTATTGAGTATTGATAAAGTCAAAATTGGTGTGCCCAACTAACGTCTCTGTTCGGTCATTGGCGGTGAATCAGTGATTAACTTTAGTACTGTCCACTTGGTTATTCGAGTGGGGAAGAGGATCTTCAAGGATATTTACCAATATTAATGATCATTTTATCAATAGGGTATATTTTGCCATCTATCTGCAGGAAAGAACAAGTTGTTTCCTGGAAAATGATAATTTTGTTTCCCCTAGAATAACAGGTGATTTAGAGATGCTGAGATGCATCAGAATCAGGAAGGAGGGTTGTGTAGGTCTTTGTTTTGGTTTTTTTTTTTGGGGGTGGGGATTAAAAGATTGTGGTACCTTCCAAGGTGGTGGATATGGATGTGTGACTTAGAATATTTGATGTGGGACGGGTAAGTAGCAATTTGAAGGTTCAGTGTGAAACTGCAGTGTTAAATAAAGGTCTTTGAAGAATCCAAGAAAATTGGGGTCAGAGTTATTTGTCAGCAACAGGTTCCACTATTTTCAATTCATAAGGGTCTACTCAGTGCTGTACATTTCTAACTGAATGCCAAGCTTGGAGGATCGGATATGACACAACACAAGTAGCATGAAGGAAATACTCTAGGTTTGTAGACCTTACTAGAAAATTATTGTGGCTTACTGAAGAAATCTTCAACCCTGACTTCCGGCGGAAGTTGCTTGGTTTGAGATTGTTCAGTTGAGGTGTATCTTTTATTAACTCCCAAGAAAATAATTTCGGGAATATTGGGGAAGTTAGTTTGGCCGGATGGTCTCATTTAAGAAGCTCTCTCCTTCTTGATTGGTTAGGCCCAATGCGTATGATTAGATCCTATGTATAGCATAATAGCGACTCTCGTTTTGTTGATCTAGTAACTGTTTAGGACCTTTGGGAATGTAATACAAATGGTCATTGCAGAAGTGCTGTCTGATCAGTTGTTACTTCTCTCTGTCTAAGGGAGTCAACTCTTCAAGTTCTTTGGTGTGGATATTTTGTATCAAATCCCTCAGAGCATAAAGTAGGAATCAGTGAAATCATGCTTTTCTTTTTGTTATCTTCAAATATCTGCTTCGCTGAAGCTTACTGCACTCGACTTATTTTGCTTGCTAGGATATCTTTATAGAAAGAACTTTAACATTATGAATGCAATTCTCTAATGGCGTGTATCCTCTTGATTTCTGCAGATATCTTTCAGATGTGTTGTTTGAGGCAATGTCGAAAGGGCAAATCCTTTCACTGTACCAGGGGCTTGGCACTAAGAACTTGCAGTCTTTCATTGCTCAGTTCGTATATTTTTATGGATATAGCTATTTTAAGAGACTTTACTTGGAAACGACGGGTTACAAATCAATTGGTACAAAAGCCAACTTAGTTCTTGCTGCTGGTGCTGGGGCATGTACTGCAATTGCAACACAAGTAAGATAATTTCCTTGACCTTGACGCACAATCAGCTAATTGTTCGAGTTCCTTAAATATTAGTAAAAAGAGAAACAAAGAAAAGAGAGCTGGCACACAAGAGAACTCAGAGGCAGTATCATGAGGATCCACTGTTTCTGTTATCCCACTGCCAAAAACAAGCATACTTTATAAATTTACAAGCTATTTACGAGTTTTGATGTAGTGTATCACAAGTTATCTGATACATAATCTCTCACTTAGTCCCCCCAACTTTTCAACTATGGACCACATGCAAGTAAAAAGTGGAATATCTTTTATTGGGACAGAGGGAGCATTATTGGTCTTGAAGATCATTAATAACATGGTTGCAGGCTGATATTTTAGGTTTGATGCATACTAAGTAAACCATGCTATCATTTCATGAAAAACGGAGACTGAGTTTCTCGTTTTTTGTTTTGCCCAAAACCTAAAGAGGAACTCTCTCTGTGGATCCATATATTGGCTGCGTTGACACTTGAACTTATGTAGGTTAGCGAGCTCAGGCTTCACATGATTTAGAGAAATTTCAAATTAAGACAGGACAACTTCAGCTTTCTCTCTACTGTTAATTATACTTCTGATTGCATAGATTTTATGTTGCATGATAGCAGCTAGCAGATGCACTAAATATTTGATCTTACTTATGCACAGGATGAAGTGTATTCAAAATGTGATCAAATATGTCGGCTTGTGATAAATGGAGTTTTAAGCTCTTTGTAATTTAAGCTATCACAGTTGATGCCCTACTCATACTCCAAATTTAATCATGGTTTCAAAAACTCTGCCATGCATCTCTGGTGACTATAATTAATCTTTGTACCTTAACTAGCTATGTCTGATATTGTTTCAAATGAATTCCACAAGCTACCATTAAGACATCAATTATGTGTGTGCTTCCTTTAGGTATTTTTTAACTATTGAATGTTAATGAGCAGCCCCTAGATACAGCTTCTTCAAGGATGCAGACAAGTGCATTTGGGAAGTCAAAAGGCTTATGGAAGACCCTTACAGAAGGCAGTTGGAGTGATGCATTTGATGGCCTTGGGATTTCTCTTCTATTGACTTCCAATCCAGCCATTCAGGTGCTAGATATTTCATATCTAAAATTAATATTACTCTGTATTATGCCTACCTGATGGTCCAAGGTTATGTTTGCCTATTAGTACACTCAGAGTCTCAGAAGAGAGACTCATTTTAAATAATGTACCTTTGAGATGTCCTGATTGTGTGAAATGATATGCTGCAGTATACAGTTTTTGATCAGCTGAAACAAAGAATGTTGAAGAGTAAGCAAGACCAAAATGGGAAAGGATCCCAAGAAGCTCTTTCAGCTTTCTCTGCCTTTCTCTTGGGTGCCCTCTCAAAGAGTATTGCCACAGTACTGACTTATCCTGCAATAAGGTTAGATACAGTTTCCACCTTCCGTTATCCATTTTATTCAATTTATTTTATGCTCCTTATTCACCCTCATGCTATAATCAGGTGTAAAGTCATGATTCAAGCTGCAGACCCAACTGATGAGGCGGATAAGAAAGCCAAAGCGGATGATAAACCCAAACTAAGACCCCAGAAGACAGTGCCCAAGGTTCTTTATGCCATCTGGAAAAAAGAAGGGGTACCGGGATTCTTCAAGGGAATAGAAGCTCAAATCTTGAAAACTGTGCTGAGCTCGGCATTGCTTTTGATGATCAAGGAAAAGATCTCGGCGACTACTTGGGTCCTCATACTTGCTATGAGAAGGATCTTGGTGGTTAATCAGGGAAGGTTGAAGAAACCTTAATGGAAGGTGATAATGATGAAAATGCCAGTTACTTGTTTGTATAGAGATTCCTTGATGTAGAATATACCCAAAATCTAAATAAAGGTTAGATCTCTATAGGAGGCAGCAGGAAAATCTGTCTGTTTTAGAGAGAAATTTATCTGTTATTTTGTTGGTAGGAGTGATCAAGATTAGTCAAATGTTAGTGGACATAGTAAAGCATGGAATTATGAGGCATATGTAGTCGGAGTAAAAGTATTACAATGACATTTAACTTTGAGAAGGTTCTCTCATTATACATTCTCGGTGAAATAAAAGCATCTTTTAAAAGATTGCTGGTGACATCAGTATCCAGTTTATCTAAATCTACATATCTGGATGGAGCGCTTACCCTGGTATTATGTTTTATTCTGCCATCTCAAAAGTTGAGAGATGGTATCTTGGTGCAATGCGCGCATCTAATAAGTGCAGGCTTAAAATTGTCTCTGTTCATGTGAATGATTAATCTCCAAACCATTTAGCTCGCTTCTGAATTTACCGGTAAAAACTTTCCAACCCCTATTTCCGATCAATATCAGAACTTTATTTATTATTTTTTTTTTAATTTTCAGTAATCTAATATTCACTCAGTGTCTCGAAATGATTATCCGAACTTTTAGTATAATTTGTACTGTAAACGAAAATAAAAATTTAATAATCATTTTTGTGAACTAAACGTGGATTTCTCATGTTTAGTTTGATATCAGTTTTGTTGATGGTTAAAAAAGAGTTTTTCAATTTAATCTAATTCTAAGATGAAAGATTAAAAATATTCCAGAATTGTATAAAGTATAATATCTGCATGACCTCTCTCATAGTCTCCTTGGGTCTCTAACTTAAACGGAACAACTATCAATTAATTTACGCAATTATGAATCACCAACAATGTCACTGTCTCCGAATACTCTTTGTTTTATAGTTTCATTTTTATTCAACACACATTTTTGAACATTCTTTTGACGAAAGAGCCGAACTTTTTCTTTTTCTCTTTTTTTTTTTTAAGTAATAAATAGTTGGAAAATGGATATCCTGTTTTGTCTGAAGAATTGGGAGAAATTAACCCACGTTCCAAATTTCTAAATTTATCCAGTTATTGTGTTCATAATCTGAGTGGGTGATCAAAATGTACTCTTGTTTTGAGTGATCATCAGATGCCCGGGTGTGTTCTTACACAATTAAAATACTCTCTCCGGTCCTTATTATAAGACACTTTGATTTCGTCCTAAATTTAATCTAGAATCTTCTTAATTGGAAAAAATAACCTCAAAAATATATTTCTACATTCGTTGTGTTCTTCTCAAAAATATATTTCTACATTCGTTGTGTTCTTCTAATTATTATGACATGTTTTTAAGGTTTTTATTTCAATTAAAAAAACATTCTAGGTGAAACTTAAGACGAAATCAAAATGCCTTATAATAAGAACCGGAGAGTATTTACCCGTGTATTTTCAAGGGTGAAAAGAAATAGGAGTAATTAATTCAGCAAAACTGTAAAATATTTTATTTAAATACCATATAATCTTATCACAAGGCACATATAAAAAATCAAACGTTTTGAGGCTACATAATTCATCCAGATTAAAACTATTTACATTTTCGTTTAATTCCGCTAGCTCAAGTTTGATAAACAAAACGGTAAATATGGTGGACAATTCGGCATGGTGAATTGGAGGAGATCAACTACACATTTTTTTTTTGGTTCTAAATGAATTTACTACCACTAAATTATTAGGCAAACTTTCAACTTCTTGGGAAACTGCCAATTGCTAAAAATGATTGATCATTGATTGACACTTTCCTAATTCAGTGCCAAAAAAAAAAAAAAGACAACAGCAGACTTAACACAAACTGGGAAAAAAACTAATAAACAAAAAAGGTTTACAGGAACAAATTCGAGCCGTCGTCAAAAAAATCGGATGCACTAATCCCACCATCCTCGCCGGAACCCAAAATATCAAGAAAGTTCCGGCGCTCTTCTTCAACAACAACCTCATCCTCCACGTCAACCCTTTTACTATCTCCGCCTTCTGGTTCGGATTTCACTTCAATTTCTGCAGAAGAATCCAGTGCCTCCAAATTGAAAGACCCGAATTTCGGAGTGACCTCGGGAGTTGAAACGCCGCAGGAGAATTTCGGGTCGAAGGTGAAAGAGAAAGAATTCGAAGGATTCGATGAGCATGAGTTGAGAATTATGGATTCACACTTCTCCAGAGCACTGGGGCAGAGCTTTCTCCTCTTATTGGACGTCTCCTTGGCCGGGTCTTCTTCTTCGGCTGGTTCCGGGTTCTCGTTCTTCTCGGGCTCAATTCCGCCGTCGGTTGCGGTTGATGGAGATTCCGGCGCCGGATCGTCGGCGGGTGGTGAATTGGGTAGCTCGGTGGCGGGTTCTGAATGGATTGGTTTGATTTCATCTTCCATATTTGGTGGCCGGAGGGAGAGAAGGGGTGAGAAAATCGAGAATTACAGAAATACAGAGAAAAGGAAGAAATGGGAAGAGGTGGTCACTCGTCACTGATGAGTCAGAACGTGTCAAGGTGTCAGTGTGTGTCTTATGACTCCCGTGCGACTCACTAATTACTTCTTCTACCAGACTCATTATTACTTTCATCCGTTCCATTTTAATAATCCATCCGTTAAATCACAACGTCACCTGAAATCATGAACTAAATATGAAAATAAGATCCAATTAGATTCACTAATTATGAATTACTCTCTCATTAGGGAAAAATAGTTTATAAAATTCTTTGAAATTAGAACATTGAATGTTTATTTATCAAATTTATAATAATTTCCCAGGTGACATAAATCCCATTGTCTATCTAAAATTAAAATTTTAAAAATTTGTAAAATTAGAATATAGCACATTTTTTTGGGACGGATTAAGTATGTTTCTCTGGTACGGGTTAAAAGAGGATGGAATGAAAGAAGAAAAATTGAAAAGTGGAGACACAAAGTATGATTTAGTTGACGGAAACATAGGGATTAAACTGATGAAGAACTTAAAATTTGTGATGTTCAAAAAGCTAAAATGAAAATCGAGAGTACGAGAAGGCATGCTTTAATCGTTTCTATCAAACCTGTTTCTGCATTTTTGTTCCATCATTTTTTGAAATTTACATGTTTTAGTTTTCAACTATTTCACCATTTTCTTTAATCACGTTTTTAGTCATCACTCTTGTGAAATTTGAAACTAGTCAAAACTAAGTGCGCCAATCGCCTGACAATCAATTAGACTATAATCGATAGTATAATTCATAATTATTTGTTATCTACAGTTTATCATAACTTTTTAAAAAATATCTTTTACAAATTGATATAGAAATTATGAAAAGATAAATACAGCACTAAATAAAACATAACGTTGTGGCCTGATTTTTCCTAACATTTTTAATCGGAGACAAAAAAGAATAAAATTCTCATATTTCCCCCTTATATTTAGATCACTGGGATTTTGATACTAATTGTTGAAAACTTAAAGGAGCGTAGTGTAATTAACCCAAGAAAAAGACGGAAACGACATCGCTAAGGAAACAAAGGGAAGAAGATGAGAGAGTGAAGAGACTGCAAGACAGATCTGTCAGAGAATTCCGGAGTGGTGAGAACTCCAGTCCAGCTGAAGGGAGCTCCCCCTTTTCACACACATACACACACAATTAGTGCATATACACATATATACACCGGTTTAGATTGACAGAAGAAGATGATGTCCGGTAATTATACACCGATTGACAGTCAGAATGTCTCCGGATCTGTTCCGGTAAGCTCTTTTCCGAATGATTCCGTCCTTTTCTTTTTTGCGTTTACCTGGCAATTGAAATTATGAATGTTTTTTAATACCTCTGTTTTGGCTAACTTGTAGGCTGCCGCTGATTCGTCTGGTCACGTCGCCGTCAAGTTCACCGGTAATGCTTTGAATCTACTTTCTGTAGAATCTGGATTTTTCGAGTTTGTTTTGGTTTAGGATGTTCTGATCGCCGGAATGATGTTATGTTTATGTTTGAATTTTGGATTCTTTTAGAGTCGAATTTGCAAACGTTTCCACCGACTGCCGCTCAGGGCAAGATCTCTGCTGCCTCTGGACCCCCTCGTGATGCCGACGGTACGTTCCAATATAATGTGAAAAGTCATCTTGTCTGCCTTATTTTGTTTGTGTGAAAAGTCATATTGGGTGATGATCAATAGGTTTCGATTCTGTGATTATTGATAGATGGAACTGCTGATTCATAATATTTTTTTGGTTGGTTGGGGGATGGCTACCGTTTTACTAGTTCAGATCAGTTTTGTTCCGTGTTTTTGGTTCAGTGTTTAAGATGCTTATTTTGTGCCGGAAAGTATACTTATTTTACATATCACAAGTAACTCTAAAAAAAAGTGTGAAATTACTCACTCTCTCATCCCAAAATGATATGATCTTTTTAGTGGATGTGGATTTGGATATGAAGTTCTCATAATCTGAAAACAACCAGCATTGGAAGGAGTGATTTTACTTTGGAGACATTGTAACTGTGCAGCTTTGCCCTGTGTCTTGATACTTGAAGCCCTTGTTAATGTGTGTTCTTTGATGTAGTGTAAGAAAAAATTTCAGAATAGATCTCGATTAAACTAATGATCTGACAAACAATACAGGTTGGATAAAATAAACCAACTGTTAAAATTTGAAGCTGGTTTTTACCCAGAAAAAAAAATTTGAAGCTGGTGAGATGGAATCATTGAGGTGTTTTTTGTGTGGAACTTTCAAATTATTCTTCCAATAGGGTGCTTGAAACTAGATTGTGTTTCTTTGAGTGGGAATTCAAGTGAGTGGATGAGTCATATAGCTGTTCGAGTAGTTACTTGTTATATATCTATGAATTCGTGCATCTGGTTTAGTTTGACTGTGGCTGTTGAGGTTGAATATGTAGAAATTTTGGATGGAAAGGAGATAAAGGAAGTAAAGACTTGATTTAGTCAAATTTACATGCTTCTCTTCTGTTCAATTCTCTCTACCGTGCATAAATTGGAGATGGAATCTGTAAATTCGCTGAAACTTATCGAAGCAGTTTTGAGTGCTCAGCTTGATTAACTGGTGCAGTTTCAAATGGTGCTTACCCCTCTAATTTTTTTTATTTATCCGTTTTTTTTTTTTTATATGATTCGTATAGCTGAAGGGTATATATGGTAATAGTTGTGTTGGCCTTGTTTGACTAAGATGATTAGCTCATAATTCTTAAAATCATCTTTCATGATTGTAGATACTTTCTCAAAAGGGGCACCTGGATCTGATAACAACAATACCCAGCAGGGTGGTTGGTTTCGGACTTTCTCTGTAGCTGCATATAAACCTTACTTTGATGTTGACACTTCTGATGTCATAGAGAGGATCATAGAATCACTGTTCCCATTCCGAGGAAGTTTTACAGAGAAGACTACAGAGCGTCCAGATTTGTAAGACACTTTTCGAAAGAAACTTGAATAGAAATGATCTTACTTCCGACTGTCCACGATGAAACTTGAGAAGAAGGGCAACATTTTATCTTCTAAAAGCAAAAGTGGACTATGTTTTTTATAACTTTGCATCTGCCTGTTTATGATTCATTTTGGCATGATGGATGTAAAATTTGAAAGTAGTATTGGATAGTACTACTATTCAGTATCCAGGTCTATGTTTCTCAATTTACAATTTCAATGTCATGGTTGTGAAGCTGAAATGTACAATTAGAATTGTATTCAGCAGTCTTCTTTAGTAGTATCTCCCGCCCCTCCCCCTCTCCATTATCGAAAGGAAGGGACAAAGTGGTCAAATATCCTTTATGAATCTCTTCCTGCCTTTTTTTTTTCCCCACGTCTGCAATTAACTAGTTAGTCTTCCTATCAATTTTAGTGACGATTTGAATTAAGATTCCTCTATAAGATTTCTGGTTAGAAGTACTTAAGATTTCATTCTGTCTTTGTCTTCTATCTCTGCTATGGTCGAAAATGTCTTGCACTAGATTACACATAGAAAGACAGTTTCGTTTTGAGTGTCGATCATGCCGTTTTATAATTAGGTTGATTGTTCTAGCCAAAGTTCTGGTCATCTTCATGCATCGGTAATTGGCTTGATGTTTGATGATGATGAATGACTTGTTCATGGCTTAAGTTCTTATTTTACAGGTATGGGCCATTCTGGATATGCACTACTTTAATATTTGTGGCAGCTTCCATTGGTACATTTGTTACATATTTGTCACACAAGTTACAGAACAAGGAGTGGAACTATGACATTAATTTGGTGACATGGTCTGCTGGTTTGTTCTACGGCTATGTTACTATAGTTCCTATCTGCTTGTATGTTATTCTCAAGTACTTCTCTGCCCCGGCTGGCCTTGTTCAGCTGTTCTGTCTCTACGGCTACTCTTTGTTCATCTTCATTCCTGCTTTGGTAAGCTGCTAGTCAAATCCTATATCTTTAACAATTTAAGCTATCTTAAGTGTGCACGTATGATATATAGGTCTCCACAATGGGTGTTACTTTTGCTAGTTCCTAAAGGTTTCTTTTAGTGAAAGCACGGCCAAAATTATTGTTTTTCTTATGCTTCTTCATGATGAATGTTTGATGTTCTAGTATTTTAGCCCTGTTGTTCATATAGTATCCTAGTCCGACTTGGTGGTGGGAGTTAATACGGATGTTTCATGTTTAATTCTGAACCAGTTTCTTGTCCTTGTATTTAAACTTGTCATCATATTTGGCTGAAATCCTGGTTCTTCTCTCTTGCAGTGTCTCTCAGTCATTCCGTTGCAAATTGTCAGATGGATCATTGCAGGGGTAGCTGGATTCATGTCTGCTACTTTTGTTGCACTTAATCTCAAAGCTCATATTAATTCCGCAGGTGAAAGATGGTTCTTGATTGTGGTGGGGATATTCCTGTTGCAACTAGCTCTTGCCTTGGTATTGAAGCTGTATCTCTTCACTGTATCAGTGTGAAAGATAACACCCATTTTGTTCGACCTTATCAGCTTAAACAGGAATACAAGTTGATCCAAAGCCAATATCTTCATTCATTCTCGACAATGGTAACTCACGATTGATGAACCTGTACAAGAAAGGATTAGTGTATGTTTACTCTCAAATAGTTTTGAGATCTTTGGCAAAAGGATTGTAAGATACATGGGTGGAATGAGAATTCATTTGGCAATGAAGTTAAAGGATATGAAATTTGAAGCATAATATTACTTTTTTTTTTTTTCTTTTACCCAAAGCGAACGCAGCCGTGGTAGTATGTGTAGATATAATTTGTTGTATCCAAACTGCGTCACCCTAATTTGTGATCCTTTCTTAACCTGCTTGAGGCACGATCTGAATTACACAACATGCACAAGGTTATCATTACCTTATCGAACTATATTGAGTATTGACTTTGGTTTGGAGTAATCTCCTGCAGACAGAATACTAAAATTGATGATCTCATTCGCTACTTTTTCGCTTTTGCCTCACCTGCCTTTGGAATAGTGGTCAGGAAATTGGAATTTTCTGTTCTTTCTATATCTTTAATTTATAAAGAGGTCGTTGGTTGGTGAGGAGGGAAAAATGATCAAAGTTGACGAAAAAACCTAGTCGGAAAGATAACAATTTACATGCACTGTATACATGCGTGCTGCACAAAAAAAAAAAAGTCAACTTTTTTGAAAGAAAATTTAATGCTTCCATTGGAAGCATGAATGGAAAAGATAAGGAGCGATTCTGGACATAATTCAGTGTCCAGCAGACACAGAAAGACAGGTTTGCCACGAGAAGGTTTTTACCTTAAAATAACGAAAGATGCTACCTTAAGTTATGCAAAACTAGAGAAACACACGAGTATCTTTCAAAATTTTTAGCTACCAAAACCATATTGTTTTGGGAATATACCATTCTTGAAAATTGCACCATCAGGGAGCATAGCCCCTAGTTTCATAAATAAATCAAGTAATGGATGAGGGACAAAAAAGCGCTCAATATCTGAAGTCTGAACAAGGACTTTTGAGAAGTTTCTGAAATGGAGGAACAGGTCAAAACCATAGATCCAAAAGAAGATCAGGTTAGTGCCACAACGTTGTACTCCTTCCGTCCCATAATTATTGTCCAGTTTGGATTTTCATTTTTAGTTCAAATTGTACTAAAAATGAAATCTCAAACTGGACAATAATTTTGTGACAGAAAGAGTACAACACGCAGGGTTATTTTTTTTCGCTCCATCCTACTGTAATAGTCTATTTTGTTGAAACGAAACAGCGTATGCCATCTGTCATGGTCAATACGACATTTGCGGTTTTGTTATCATTTGAAAGGCAAAATACTACAAGAAAAGCTAAAAAAAAAAAGTGGCCACCATTTATCAATCTTCTTCTTTTTTTTTTTTTTTTTTTGTTTCTTAGTATGGAAAATGCTTATTTATTCACTTTGTTGACAAATTGGTAGAATTAGTACGAGTAATTTATGAAATCATGGCTCCTTTCAAAAAACTACAATATTTCTGGTATTTGTTACTGTCTTACTGAAGAAGAGATTCACCAAGATAGCTACTCTGAGCATGGTGTGATATGGCCATAGGAAATAATATTAGTCGAGTTGGGTGCTGTATTTTATTGATGATTCTACTGAGTTTTTTTGGCATTGCAACAGCAAGTAGTTTCTGGTTCCAGAAGATTCCAAGAGAAACTGGTTGATGACGATCTTCTTGTTTCAAGTTCCAACAACAGTTCTACCAGTACTTCTTCTTCTTCTTTTTCTACTTCCAATGATTCAAAAGATGATGAAGATCAAGGGTTTTATGCAACAACCAAACCAACAGAGAAGTACCATCTTGTCCTGACCCTTGACACAATAAGTAGGTGACAGAATCAACTCCATGTACATGTAGCGCTTCAACAATCAGCAAAATCACACGGAAGGATGAATATTTGTACAAGTTGATAATACCTCCATTCTTTAATTCCATCCCTTAGCTAGCTTAGCTTTAGCCAATCCAAAAACTTGTTTTTACTTTGGATTTGGGTTTCAATGTTTATAGTAGTAAAATCAGATCACCATTATAAAAACGTTGGCTGCTCATAGTGTGCCTTCATTTTGTTTTATTACGATCTTCATTTCATCATTCATTTCTTTTTTTTTCCTTTTTTTTTTGTTGTTTACAGGAATCACCTTCTAGGGCTCCTCATTAGATATTTGAAACCACTGGATTATTCGAAATCAATGATGTCAATTCTGTTCCATTCACCAACCAAAACCCACAACCAGTTCCTATATTGCACAAGGCAGCTGAATATGGAGTCTCAAAGACTGCAAATTCAAGCCGTCGGATCCTTTGGATTACTAATAAGCTCCGCCGGCCGTGCTGTTTGAATACATGTGCTACTGCAAAGAAATTTTTAGAAAGATGGAAACCGGTTCCATGGAACCTGTTTTCCACACCTATTGCATAATGCTGCACGGTTTTTGTAAGAATGGACAAGTTGATGAAGCATATGGTATCAGCTGAGATCTACAAATTTATTTTTGATCGTTTAATAGTGTTATAAATTTTGCATTTCCATCCAGTTCAAAAATTTTCAGGCAATTGCAATTCGCAAGTTACCTCCTATCTATCTATTTTTTTTTTTATCTGGAATTACTTAGGAAATAATTCAATGTTGAAATCTTTTATATGTATCCCCTCTTTCTCCGGAGAATTTGGCTAAAGGGCGGTTAAACATGTCAAATTAAAAAAAGAAATATGATCTTAAAATATTTCTTATGAAGGCAATAATTTTTTGTTCTCGAAAGGAAATTTTGATTTTGCTTGATTTCAATAGTCAGCCCAACCCAGTTTGAACTGATCAAACGCCAGGCTAACAAAGTGTAACCCCCATCTTTCGGGGGAAAAAAAAGTGTAATTAACCTGTTAGAAATTACATAATAAAGAATACATAAATTATAATTTCTGGATGTATACACAAATTGTACCTCCCATACATGATTGAGAAGTTGCTGGATCATCCTTAGCTCAGGATCCAGACTCCCAGGCGATCAATCAGATAGTTCCAACTTCCAAGACCTGCTTGGAGTCAGTTTCCAGTTTCCACAATGACTTTAGAATAGCCATACTGTTTACCTTCAACCCTCCAGTCATTCTCTCATCGGTTGATAAAAAAAGTTCTGGCGGGAATGTGTGGGGACAATTTCATTCCAGATTTCACGCGCCATCGTACAATCACGGAGCACATGAATTGTTGTCTCCTCAAGGGCGTTGCGACTTGCGATAGTATTTTCCTATGTTTCCAAAACCGGATCGGGCGGGCAGTCGAACCGGTTAGTCCGGGAACCGGAAGCCTCAACGGTCCGATTTCTATAAAGAACCGGATTTTATAAACTTCGGTCAAACTCGGATAAAATCACGGTTTGATCGAAATTTGGTACTGGTTAAACCGGTTTTTACATATATTTTTTTAAAAATTAATTTTTAAATATTTTTTTAATATTATTTTGATCGATTTTCGCCGGTTTCGAAGAACGAGCTAACTGGATAACCCGATGAACCTATTCACTCGGTCATGCTAACGGTTCGCCTTCCGGTCCTGTTTTTAAAACATAGGTATTTTCTAAGATTTGTTGTTTTGGAAAGAAAACAAAATTAAACTATTTTCTGAGATTTTATTGTGTTTACTATTGTAGATAGGAGATAGAAAATCATTCCAAGTGAGATGTCCAAGATCAAAGAATAGAGGAAAACCACTTAAATTGAAATATTTAAATAGAGGGCTAAAAAATAATGGAATTTAAATATAAATAATAAATTAATCAGAAAATTATGAATTCAAAAGTGTGATGATAATTCTCTACTCGAGATGTCAGAATTTGCACCTATTTCTATCTATTTAGTGATCACTCCGCTAGTTTCTTTGATCCCACTCGGTGTTCCCTTTTCATTTGCTTCATCTATCCACAAAAATTGTTGGCCTATGAATGTGATTTCGATCCTTTCAATGATTCCAGAAGTCATTTTGATATATGATTTTATCTTGTTTCAATTTTATTTATTTTCCTGATTTGGAAGTAACCTTTTTCTTTCCTTGGCCAAATTTAGTTAAGAGTTCTTCTACATTATTTGCCAACAAGATTGATCCGTTTGGATCTTGCTCCATGATGGCCATTTTATTGATTTTGACGATTGGATCTCTCTATGAATGCAAAAGGGATGCTTTGGATCGGGAATAAAAAGTAGTGACAGTGTCATGAACCAGGGGTTCTTTATTCTTTGAGTGAACCATAAAACAAGTTATTGAATTATTCGATAATTTTAACACTGGTTATCAATCAAATTTATTTGCAAAATAGGTCACTGTACTAAGCGAAAAATTCATCCGAGATCATTTTGCTAATTTTGACCGTTTGATAGTGACAGAAATCTATTTTTTTACATGCTTTTAGGTTTAGCCGTATTTTTGTTTTTTATTTATTTTTTTAATTTTTTTAATAAATATTTATATATATTTTTAAAAATTCTTCTTTTTATATTCCTTAACTTGTATATGTTGATAGTATAATTACTAAATTTTAAAAATTAATTTAACTTTTATATTTTAATTTCTAGATTATTAAATTTTTAAAAAAAATTTAAAAATGAAGAAGAAAAATTCTAGTTGAAGTAAACATGAAAATCAATAGTTTACCATTTAAACCAAAAGAAAAACTACAACATTAGCTAATACAAGTTCTTTTTTCTAAGTTATTTAATTATTTTTAACTCAATTTAATTATTTAATTTTCACGTTAGTTTCAATTTGAATTTTTCTTCTTAACTTTTTTCTTCTTCTTCATTTTTTATAATCTAGAGGTTAATATACAAATGAAAAATCAACTTTTGAAATTTCATAGCTATACTAGTACCAACATATACAAGTTATGAAGTAAAATAAGAAAAGTTGTAAAAAAAATTAATTAAAATATTAATATTCTTAAAAAAAAAGTATAAAATAATGAAATTACCCATAGACCCAAAAACATGTGGAAAATAGTTTTTCGTCACGATTTAACGCTCAAAATAACCTAGGAGAAACAACTTTTCTTAGCTGAAAGTTATTTTGGACGTTAAATTGTGACAGAAAGTTATTTTCACATGCTTATGGGTCCAGCGGCAATTTAATCATTCTGTATTTTCTTAAAATATATCAATATTTTAATTAAATTTTTTTTTACGATTCTTCTTCTTTTACTTCCTAACTTATATATGTTGGTACTATAATAATTATTAAATTTCAAACATTAAATTGTCATTTATATCTTAATTTCTAGTTTATAAAAAAAAATAAAGAAGGAAAAAAAATAAAGAAGAGAAATTCAAATTGAAGTAAACGTGATATTAATAATCAAATAATTAAATCGAGTTGAAAATAATTAAATAACCTAGAAGAAACAACTTGTCTTAGCTAAATTTTTAGTATTTTTTTGGTTTAAAATGATCAACTATTAATCTTCATGTTTACTTCAACTCAAATTTTTATTATTCACTTTTTAAAAATATTTTAAATTTTTTTTAATAATCTAGAAGTTAATATAAAAAGGTTAAATTTATTTTGAAATTAGAAATTATACTATCAACACATACAAGTTAGGAAGTATATGAAAAAGAATTGTAAAATTTTTTTTTAATATTTTTTAAAACATAAAAAATTAAAAAATAATAAAAAGATAAAAATACTCCTAAACCCAAAAGTATGTGAAATATTGATTTGCGTCATTGTTTAACGGTAAAGATTAATAGAATGATGTTAGAAGAATTTTTTGCTTAGTACACTATTCTATTTCATAAATAAATTTGATTGATAATCTCTAATAAAATTACCGAATTGTTTAATAACTTGTTTTGGGTTCACTTTTATTCTATGTGGCTACTTGTAATTCTGGAACATTGCTTGACTATATAGATCGAACTTTGTACTTGTGAACCGGGTTTAACTCACATTCTCTTTATTTTATTTTTTTTGAAAGCCGCACTATAACCGGGTTTAGCTCATCATATCTTGATATTGAAGAATAAAAATCCAGAAAAGGAATTTTCCCTCTCTCTCCTTTCTCTCGACTTTCTGTGAAAACCTAGTGCCGCCGCCGGTGTGCTGGACCTGACAGATAGGGCAATAATCGGGGTTTAGAACAAAGGAAAAGATAAAATGCCTACATTATATCAATTGATTCGTCATGGAAGAGAAGAAAAACAGCGCTCGAACCGTACTCGAGCTTTGGGTCGATGTCCCCAGAAAGAAGGCGTATGCCTACGTGTTTCAACGAGAACGCCGAAAAAACCTAATTCAGCTCTCCGTAAGATCGCCAAAGTACGGTTAAGCAATAAAAATGATGTATTTGCTTACATTCCAGGCGAAGGTCATAATTTGCAGGAACATTCTACGGTCTTAGTAAGAGGAGGCAGAGTGAAAGATTTGCCAGGTGTGAAATTCCATTGTATTCGAGGAGTCAAGGATTTGCTGGGAATTCCCGATCGAAGAAATGGCAGATCCAAATACGGTGCAGAAAAACCCAAAGATGGCGCACGGTAGAATTTTACTGTCTTTGCTGCTGATGCTGTTATTACTTATTTCTACTATTCCTTTTTTTTTCCCTCAACTTTTGCACATCCTTGTGTTGGTTCTGTCTTGGAAATGTAGAATTATTTGACTTATTAGATCTTGCCTTTTGGTCTCCCTTCATATCTATTAGGCACTATTCGACATCGTGTTTTATAGAGGCTTCGGGTAAGGCTAGGTGGAGCACCCCTGTTATCATATCATGGATATCAGAACCTAGTCCAAAGGAACCGGAGCGGCACCAGTTGATTTCTCGTCTTTGTGATCCAGTATTCGTTAGTTCTCCCACCCTTTTATCATATTTGAATTGATATTCGTGGCAGTACATTTTTTTAATGTGATCTCTCTGGTCAGCATTATCGTCATCCTCACATTACCTATGATATCGAATTGGCTTTTGATATCGTCATCGTTATCTATATTTTCCTTTTTCTGTTTGGGGGGAGGGGAGGGGGGAACATGAATTTTGTCTTTGTATCATTCTATACAAGGTGTTTGTAACTACGTTTGGAGCATAATCAACATCTACAGAAAGTTAATAACATGTTTTGAGGTTGATGGTTAATTACCATTGTGGTTTGGAGCAAAATTGATGTTGAAAAAGACTTAAAAAGAGTCTGAAACTTATATGCACTTACCGGAGAAAAAGACTCATAAACAGTCAGACTTTAGGTATATTTTGGGGGGCGGGGAGGGGGGATATGAATTTTGAATTTGTATCATTCTATACAAGGTGTTTGTAACTATGTTTGGAGCATAATCAACATCTACAGAAAGTTAATAACATGTTTTGAGGCTGATGGTTAATTACCATTGTGGTTTGGAGCAAAACTGATGTTGAAAAAGACTTAAAAAGAGTTTGAAACTTATATGCACTTACCGGAGCAAAAGACTTAAGAGTCATAAACAGTCAGATTTTTGGGTATATTTTGGACGAGGAGTTAATGGGGGAGGGGGAGATGGAAAATTGGGTTAAACTCATTAACAGAAATGTTGGAAAACTAGGTAAATGCTGCTCGATGCTGAAAATTGAACTGATATCACTAGCCATAAGAAAAACTTTCTTATACCTGCTATTCGTATGGTACCTGTCTTCGCCTTTCTTTCTTCCACCCTCTATTCCAATAGTCATAGCCATAAAAAGGTAAAGCCTTATTATTGATTTCTTCATTTTCCACCTCCTTTTGGGTTTTCTTCCTCATGCTTACTTTCCATTGGTTTTGTTATTTCTTGAAAGGAGAACTGCTTTTACTATTGTTTTAGAAGAAAGATTCTCATAGCTCGCTTTTATTCATGTGTATATGTCTTTGGCTTTTGTTTTTTTTTTTTTTAAGGTTTAGAATTTTCCTTTAGCCACATATCAATAATCAAAGAGATTTATTGTAAGCAAGGAAGACAACAAGAGAAACAATTTTTGGTATATATTTGCATGTATTCGTAATCAAAGAATTTTCTTTCTTTCAATGTTCAACATCGTTAATATACTTATATTTTCCCCTGTGCATTTGACAACCTTCACATGTTGTTACTTTAAGCTTTATAGGGACTGCATGAAATGTTTTCAATCCAACTAGTATTTATTACATGTGGCACTGTCTCATGAATTTAATTTCATTGTAGAGAAAGCATACTGAATTTGTGAGAATGCTGGCTTCAAAGACTGCTGAGATTGGACAAGAATTTTTCAAGTACTTACAGCTAACTAATGAGGTAAAAGAACTACTACTGTTTTTTGTTTTTACTCCATCTGCAGTTATAGACTATATTTTGAGGATATGTGGGTTGGGGGTCTGCCAACTTACTGATACATTGTCTTCTTTTTTTTCCCTCAGCCCAAGCAACCCTCAATGCATTGGTCAGTGAATCGGCAAAATATATTAAGTACATTGAGCTCTAATATTTTCTGCCGATCAAATCATACTTATGATTTCTACCGAGGTTTTGGTTCCACTACGGCAAATAACAAAGTTGATAAAGTCAATGGATTTGTGTCGAAGTTGCGTCCGGAGAAAGAATATAAAATTACTGGCAAGTCTGATTCTGCTCAACAGATGACTAAAGTGTGTAGTCGGGGATCATATTTGCAGATTAACGGAGAGTGTGTTTTATCTGCAAATTCAAGCCGTCGGATCCTCTGGATTACTAATAAGCTCCGCCGTGCTCTTTGAATTCATATACACATTAGTCTCCATGGTGTTGGTGCGAGTTCAAAATAGCTTGATGTTTAATTACTTTTTATATATTAAGGCAGTTAAATTTTGTTGCCATGTATTACCTTAGGGGGAAGGAGACAAAGTTGGTGTGCATTATCAAGAGCTTCTAGCTCAAGGAAAGATTGAGAAATCTCAAAATTTGATTTTTCGAGAACAAGAATGCATATGTTGTTAGATTTCAGTATGGGGTCTTATGCATTTGCAGCATGAAGTGATAATACCTAGGTGAATGCTGTTTAATCTGTTCTTTTTAAGTGAAGCATAAAAATTGGAAAATAATAACAATTTATTATTCTGAAAAATTCACTAATTTATGTATAAGCTCTTCTTTTGTAATCACAGAACGCCTTTTGATGACTGAAAATAAGAAGAAATGGATGGTGTCAAATAGCTCTGGTAAGCTGCTAGAGACCATCTGGTGCCGCCAGTTTGCTTTGTTGGTTGAATAGTACCATCTTCTTCAGCATCTGGGCTCATCATCTCACTTCTGGTGCGAGGTTGAAGCACACTCGAGTACGACGACATTGTGAATAACTTGGTTATCTCCATTTCGCTTGTTGACAAGTTCATACTGCCAAAAAATTTATCCAATAAAACAGAATTTGCCTGTATTACACTGTATATATCTTGATAAATATTTTAGATTATTTATTTACCATAGATAGGGATTTTGTACCGTAAATTCTAAAGTTAATTGAGTTACGCTCTTTGTATATTTACCAATCCTAATGACACAGAGAACGGCAAGAGATTGAGCCGATTTCTTCTTCTCCTTTGGCTCTCTTCATGGTATCAAACGCAAGGTTTAAATCTTCCTGTTGCGATTGTTTTTTTTTTTTCCAGTAAATAATGACGAATACAGTGGCTGAAAAGTCGGCTGCTGCTGTTGAAGGTGGTGATGTGGCTAGCCGCCGGCGGACGATTTCTCCTTTTGACATCTCCGCCAATGACATCTCGGCAGCGTTATCACGACTATCCAACTCCGTGGCGACAGTAATTTCGCCGAATGGACCAAAGCAATCAAGACCGCTCTCCTGACTCGCAAGAAATTCGGGTTTCTCGACGGTTCCCTCACTTCGCCGCCGGCATCCTCTCCTGATGCTGAAGATTGGGGGCCGATCAACGCCCTTCTGGTGTCATGGATCCTTAATACGATCGAACCCTCGCTCAGGTCTACCATTTCACATACTGTCGTCACGAGGGATCTTTGGCGTGATCTTCAAGAATGCTTCTCGATCGTAAATGGCACGCGAATTCAGCAACTGAAATCCGATTTGGCGAACTGTCGACAGAAAGGATTGAGCATTGTTGCGTATTACGGTAAGCTTAAATTGATTTGGGACGAATTGGCATCTTATGACTCTGTTTCTGTTTGTTCATGTGGCGGCTGCTCCTGTAATCTAGCTGCCGCGGTTGAGAAAAAAGCGGAGGAAGAGAAGGTCCACCAGTCCCTGCTTGGCCTCGACGACAACATGTATTCCATTACTCGATCTAATCTTCTGGCGCAGGAAACCCTTCCGCCGCTGAGTAAGGTGTATGCCACTATTGTCCGCGAAGAAAAGATGTGTCTAATGAGTCAGGCTAGTGAAGTCCCGCCGGATTCTATGATTTTGCTGTTCATACTCCTGCTGTGTATGCTCCGGCTGTTTCTGCAGGTGATTCGCCGGCCATGGCAGCTGCGGTGAGTTCCAAACCGGCGGGTCGTGGCGTTTCTATCTCTTCTGGTGGCACCGGTGGTGATTCATCCCTGTTTTGCACCCACTGTCACCGGCCAAACCATGACGTCTCCACATGTTATTGCCTGGTTGGTTATCCGGCAGGTTGGCAACCGCGTGGCCGTGATGGCGGTCAGGGGTGTGGCTGCGGTTCTAGTGGCTCCGGCGGTTTGGGTCGCGGCACTAATAATCCGATTGGGGCTGGTTCCGGGTTTCAGCCTTCGATTGCAGTGAATTCAGTGGCACTCCCGCCCTCTACTAGTGAAAATAGCTCGATCTCGACTGTCACCGGGTTGAATGCTGATCAATGGAATACTCTTATTTCTTTGTTAAATTCGGCTAAGCCAAATTCTGGTACTTCTCTGTCTGGTAAGATTTTTTGTGATAATTGGATGTATGATTCTGGTGCATCCCGACATATGACTGGTGTTATTATTTTTTTTTGATGGTTTTCGATATTTCGGGTGTTTCTGTTCAATTACCTAATGGTGAAGTTACGTTTGCTACTAAGGCGGGTACTGTTGTTCTGAGTGACAAAATCATGTTGCAGCATGTTATGTTTGTGCCTAGCTTTAAGTGCCATCTTATTTCTGTCTCTCAATTATTGCAGGATACTGCCTCTGTCGCTCACTTTACTTCTCAATTTTGTGTTATTCATGACCTCACTTCGAGGACGCTGATTAGAGCGAGTGAGCAGCGGAAGGGGCTATATTTCTTCCGGAATGTGGAAACTCTCACGGCTGCTCAACTTCTGAGGGATCTTCTTTTGAGCTGTGGCATCAACGACTGGGACACCCGTCTTCTAAGGTTCTAGCATTGCTTCCTAGTGTCGGATCTTCTAAAGACATTAGTTCTTTTCACAATAAGACCTGTGATGTGTGTTTTCGGGCCAAACGGTCTAGACATTCTTTTCCGGCCAGTGTCACTAAAACTTCTGAAATTTTTTAATTAATCCATTGTGATTTATGGGGCCCGTATCGGGTTCCATCTTTTTTGGGTGCTTGGTATTTTTTTTAACTATTGTTGATGATTTTTCTCGTGCAACCTGGATTTATCCGTTGAATGATAAGAAAGCTGTTTCTGTCAAGTTATGCAATTATATTGCTATGGTTGAACGTCAGCATGCCAAGATGGTGAAAACTATTCATTCTAATAATAGCACCGAGTTTATGTGCTTGACTGATTTTTTCCTTCAACATGGCATTATGCATGAAACTTCATGTGTAGGAACTCCCAAGCAAAATGGTCGTGTTGAATGTAAACATAGGCGTATTTTAAATGTGGCTCATGCTCTACGTTTTCAGGCTCAACTTCCTTTTGAGTTTTGGAGGGAATGTGCATTGGTTGCGGGGTATTTGATTAATCGTACTCCTTCTAGTGTTTTGAATGGTAAAACACCCTGTGAACTTCTATATGGCAAGCCCCCTTCTTTGACTCATTTACGCGTTTTTTGGCTGTCTGTGTTATGTTCATAACCAAAAACGTCATGGTGATAAGTTTTCTAGTCATAATCGGCGATGTTTGTTTGTGGGCTATCCTTATGGTCAAAAGGGTTGGCGTGTTTATGACTTAGACACTGGTGAGTTTTTGGTCTCCCGTGATGTTGTTTTCCTGGAATCTGAGTTTCCTTCTTTATCCAAGCCTTCAGACACCATTTCCACTCCCTTTGTTGAGTCCCGTCCTATTCTTAATGATGATGATTTGTCTGATTCTGTTGTGGAGTCTGTTCCGGTTGTTTCACCTTCGGGCACTAGTGCACCTGATCTTTCCGATCCCCTTTCTCCAGAAAAGGGGGGGAGGGGAGGGGTACTACTTCTGAGCAACAAGAAGAACCTCTGGGTTGTGGGCATCGCATCAAACAGCGTTCTAATCGGTTACGCGACTATGCCTCCCATACTGTTACTTCTACTAGCCCCTCTCCAGCTTCATCCGCTGCGTCAGTTTTCTCAGGTGCGTCCTATCCTATACACAACTCTGTTAATTGTGCCTCTTTTTCTCTACCACATCGGGCATTTTTGGGTAGTATTACTGCAGGTGTTGAGTCTCGGAGTTTTTCAAAAGCTGTTAAAGATACTCAGTGGCAACAAGCTATGCAACTTGAGATTCAGGCCCTGGAGAAAAATGGCACCTGGTCTGTCACTTCTCTGCCTCCTGGAAAAAGGGCGATCGGTTGCAAGTGGGTGTTCAAATTAAATATAATTCTAATGATTCCGTTGAGCGTTATAAAGCCCGCCTAGTGATGTAACGACCAACTCACCTACTAGCTATCATGGTCATGCTTAGCTATGAGTTGGATCGTACGCCGGGCTCTCGCCCAGGGCGCATTACTTTTATTTACCTTTAACTATAAATTCTAAAATAATTTAATAAATTTTATTGCGTAATATCACTTTCAAATGCTAATCCTAGACATTAACTTAACACTCGCTAAAATCTATTTCATATTACGATCTATTAATGATAACATTTTGCAGACACTCTTCTTGGATAGCACCATTCCCTTGAACACATCTGCCTGTTCTAAATCTGGAAGTGGGATAGGGGAACAAAATATAAAGGAGGTGAGCGCCGAGATCAGTGAAGTTCTCATTATTCCATTACGACATTTTTAATAAAACTTTTTGATAAAACTATGTTCAAAAGTAAAACAACTTTGCATATAGTCATCCACCAAGTATTTATTTCACATTAAACAGATAACAATAGGGTAGATACAGAGAAATCTTAGCAAGGGCTGTCAAAGAGCCTACTTGGCACAAAGACAGATTCCAAGCCAAGTTTCAACAATATGATTACGATAACGATCAAATGTCAAATATCAATTCCCCTCAACACCTCGTGGCCACCGATTGATACTCATGAGCACCGCGTCCATCCGGACAACAATAGCCTAGATAAACTAACTTGGCGACGAAACCCGATGCCGGCCCGCAAGGCTTCGCCTAACAAAGGCAGGGCCCAAGCTCCAAGGGAACATAGTCCACCGAGACAATAATCACATATTATTATATAACAATCAATCAATAACAACAATAGTTGCCCTGGAGTGATAAAGTACACTATCAGAAACAACACATTCAACGATTATACTCAATCCAGTAACCAGTCAACAATAACGTTCAAGCACATCAACGATTTCACTTAGAACACGTATCCCAGAAGCGATTAAGTACACTTCCGGGTCATTCAATGATATGCATTTAATACTTTAATAAAATATAAAAATATTCTCACGAATGTAGTGATTTAAAAATATATATTCTCATACTCCCAGTTTTTAAAAGAGTAAGAATTACTCACCTGTAGCCTTTAACAAGTCGATGCCTCTCGCAGGCTCATTTTGCAGTTGACATTGTAACACTGTCAGAAATTAAGGTCAATTAGCTTATAAATTTTATTGATGGATCAGAGCTGGAACTTCATAAACTGCAACGTCAATATGTGAAGTGAGCAAGGTTACACACTTAACAGTTTTAATTAATGAAAAGTCCTCTTCTAAAGTGGACGTGTGTTTATCTAGTAGTAGTACGGCTAGCATGGAGCAACATCTATTTAACTAACTCAAAGGGAGTAAACCTAATCGAAACAAATAGCAATTGTTTCAACTTCCAAATGCTAAACTTTACAGCCCAGCAACCCATCGAACTAGCACACGTGGGATGCCAAATTAATCAAAGTTCAGTTTTAAGCACTAAGTCCACCTCTCACAGTTGGCTGGCTATGACCCTCCTAAGTAACAAGTAAGTTACTAATTTGAATTAAGTATACAAAACGTACCAGCAAAGGCCAAATATAACAAGCTCGTTTAATTAGGCCGAAGCAGTACCGTCAACTACCCTAAAAACTCTCATGCTTCTATCCGATTTCTTTTCCCAAATTAAAATTCTAAGGCAAATTATTTTGCACGATGGCGGCCGATAGACCAACTATTTTCGCAGCTCGTGAAGTTTTGGTTCAAGGTTTCAACAACGAACGTAGAAAGTGAGGCCTCTTTTTTATTTTTTTTAATTTTTTCAACGGAGAGGAAGAAGATAGACAGTGGTAGTTTTGGTTCAAAGGTTTCAAGACTAAAGTAAATGGGGGCGGGTGGAGTGAGAGTACTAAGGAGAGCTTTCTAGTTTCTACTTGAGTAGTCATCCATTGAATAAAACAATTGAAAGAAATAGCTGAATGAAACATGAAGAGATATGCATGGTAGGGTTTTCTATATATTTAGTTAATGTTTTAAAACTCAAGAACAAGTAGAAAATGGAAGCGGTGGAGTTTCCTAATCACATGAACTTTGATTTTAGGCTTCAATAAAAAGGTAACTAGAGACTTAAAAGAAGGAAGTATAAACGGTAATATTTAATTTCTTGAACTCCTTCACTATATTAGCCCTTGATTCTAAGTTGGTCTGACTATATTACTCCCTCTGTCTTAAAATTGTTGTCCAGTTTGAGATTTCATTTTTAGTACAATTTAAACTAGAAATGAAATTTTAAACTGGACAATAATTATAAAACGGAGAGAGTATTAATTAAAACGGGGTGCAAAATGGGAGAGACTAATTGTGCGGGTTGACTAGCTAGTATCGCTAATTCTTGTAGTAGAATATATATACTTGTGGTTTCCTTGGGGCGGTGCATCAAAACCCACGCACCTTAAGCATCTGTTTTAGGATAGCTTAACATCTACGTAGCTTGTCCCATAAAATTAATAGATTAGACCACTTTGGACAGCTCTTGCTTATGACAATTCGGAAAGCTTCCTATTATTTTATTTTAAAAAAAAAACTACTCATTTGGTCCATTTTCATTTTAATGGTTTTCTTTTTGGGTACATTCCGGGCACGATACTTTTGTTTATTTATCATTTAGAAATAGTAAGAAATCCAGGGACGGAGCCAAGCTCCTAAGATATGATGGAATAAAATTTTTAATACTTGTAAATTAATACACTTGTCCCTTATTATCTTAAGGGGCAAAAACTAAGATTTTGTAAAAAAAAAATCTAAAATTTCAAAGTTTAACTAGAAAAAAAAAATTTTCAGCTTGCCCCACTTTAGGTGTATGTACGTCCGCCCCCGAAGGAATCACAAAATGTACTCCCAAACGGTTCACGTGGGGAGAGCAGATGTGACTTAGGAAATATAATAAGACTTTGCTTCCAACTTTTGGTACCGTTCTATACATACCTTAAAGAAATTTGAATAATGTTACATATTTAATCTAATCTACAAACGGACCTAGATTCATGAACTAGTTAATCATTGCTTATGACATCTCCAGATCCTTATAGGCTCAGATTTTACTTATGTGGTGTCGTTTATTTATTTATAATCTAGTGTCTATCTATACTCTTAAATGAACGATACTTTAATTTTGTAATATTTTAATTTTGTAATATGTACTATCGTGTTTCATGTTTTCTCTATTATATTTTAATCCTACAGCTAAGCTACTCGGTAAATTTACGTAATAGTAACCGCGTTAATTTACGTCTTATTAATCACGTTAATCTACGTATTATTAAATACGTCAGAATTATCTTGTGTACTAATATGTAGCCTAATACGTCAAATTATAAGGATATTACAAGTGATTCTGGGTAACAATCACATCGAAGGTCTCGATTACAATGAGACATTCGCTCCTGTTGCCAAGATGGCAACCGTTCGCACTCCACTTACGGTGGCAGCTGCTAAGGGTTGGGAACTTCATCACTTGGATGTTCATAATGCTTTTTTGCACGGGGATCTGGACGAGAAAGTATATATGAAATTGCCACCTGAGTTTCGTTCTTCTGATCCTAGTGTGGTTTGCCGCCCTCATCGCTCGCTTTATTGTTTGCGACAGGCTCCTCGTTGTTGGTTTGCCAAACTTGTTAGTGCCCTACGACGATATGGTTTTCAGTAGTCTTCCTCTGATTACTCTTTGTTTGTTTTGCGTCGCGGCACCACCCAACTGACAGTCCTGGTTTATGTCGATAATCTTATTATTTTCGGGAATAACAGTTTGGCTATTCAGTCTTTTAAGAATTATTTGAGCAGGTGTTTTCACATGAAGGAACTTGGGCCTCTCAAATATTTCCTGGGCATTGAAGTGGCTCGTAATTCCATAGGCATCTTCTTGTCTCAATGCAAATATGCTTTGAACATCATTTCTGAGGTCAGCTTGTTGGGTGCTAAGTTGGCTGGATTTCCTTTAGAGCAAAATCATAATCTTTATCTGGTGACCGAGGCTCCTCTTTCGAATCCCGAGTCCTATTGACGCTTGGTCGGGCGTCTGATTTATCTTGCTGTCACTCGGCCGGAGTTATCTTATTGTGTTCATACTCTTGCTCAATACATGCAGAAACCCATGCAGGCTCATTGGGATACTGCTTTTCGCGTTATACGTTTTCTGAAGGATAATCCTGGTCAGGGACTTCTTTTACGGGGTGACTCTGATCTTTAGTTAACTGGTTAGTGTGATTCTGATTGGACCAGTTGCCCATTGACCCGACGATCTCTGACTGGTTGGTTTATTCAGTTGGGTAATTCTCCTATTCTTAGAAGACCAAGAAGCAACAGACAGTTGCTCGCTCGTCTGGGCTGAGTATCGCTCTATGACTTCTACTGTTTGTGAGCTGAAGTGGTTGGAAGGTTTATTGCATTTTCTCGGCCTTCCTCATCTTTATCCTATTCGTCTTTATTGCGATAGTCAGGCTGCTCTTCATATTGCAACGAATCCCGTATTTCATAAACGCACCAAGCACATTGAGGTTGACTGTCATTTCGTGCGGGATGAGATTTTGAAGGATACTATCCTTCCTAGTTATGTTTCCACCCATGTGCAACTTGTTGATATATTTACTAAGCCTTTGGGTAAATCCAGTTTGATTATTTTCTTGGCAAGTTGGCCCTTTTTAATTTGTATGCTCCAACTTGAGGGGGGTATTATGTTGTATATATCTTAATAAATATTTTAGATTATTTACTTACCATAATTAGGGATTTTGTACCGTAAATTCTGGAGTTGATTGAGTTACGTTTCTTGTAATTTACCAACCCTAATGACACAGAGAACGACAAGAGATTGAGCCGATTTCTTCTTCTCCTTTGGCTTTCTTCAGTCTGGGAGCTTGATCATAGATTCCAGCAACAGCTCCTTCAATTTTTTGCAAGGATAGAGCAGAACCACGATTCCGTATCCGCCGAGGAGCGACCCGTCTCCATTGAAATTCAGAATGATTATGGTAATTATTGGCAATGGGAGAGCTAGGATTTTATAAGTGGAAGGGTGAAATGATCAAAATTTCAATTTGCAGGGGCGAAAATATCAAAAAATTTCTATCTAGAAAAATTTAAGAGCACTATTTAAGGAAAAATTCCGGCGAAAGGCGATCACCGCTGTTAGCCCTCCTAACTTCGCCACTGATAATTGGTAAGAGTTACTCTTTTTGTCACAGAGTTATTGTCTAATTTAAATTTATAACTAGAAGTTTGGTTGTTTGAGTGATGCCCAAGAATACGTGAGGAGGAAGAATCAGCTGGATCTTTTATAGATGTGAGTAAATTATATAGCAGAGAGGATTCAGTTTTGGAATACAAAAAGGAAACTGCGCCAAAACAAAAACCCAAATCCGAGTCGTATCCACACGCCTACCACCTAAAAACTATATATAAAAAAAAAGGTGCCACCCCCCTCACTTTTATACATAAACTAACAATTTTTTCTGTACTCGAAAATCAATCAAAAGCGCCTAATTCTCCAAAGGTTAGACTGCAACAATGGCCGATCCGAGATCGACCCGAATCGCAATAGTAAATCCTTACAAGTGTCAGCCGAAGAAGTGCAAGCAAGAGTGTAAGCAACGCTGCCCGGTGAATCAAATGGGAAAAATATGTGTTGAGGCAAATTCAGCATCAAGAGTAGCTTTTATATCAGAAGAGCTCTGTATTGGATGCGGAATCTGTGTTAGAAAGTGCCCCTTCAATGCTATTCAGATCATCAATTTGCCCAGAAGTTTAGACAAGGAAACTACCCATCGTTATAGCGCCAACACGTTCAAGTTGCATAGGTTGCCGGTTCCGAGACCCGGTCAGGTTTTAGGCCTGGTCGGAAAGAATGGCATGGGGAAATCAACTGCCCTCAAGATCTTGTCTGGTAAATTGAAACCTAACTTGGGCAGTTTCGGAAACCCTCCTGATTGGCAAGAAATTTTGGCTTACTTCCGAGGATCCGAGCTTCAGAATTATTTTACACGTTTCCTGGAAGAAAAGCTCAGGGCAATCATCAAGCCGCAGAATATTGACTGCATACACAAAGTTTTGTCCGGGAGTGTCATCGAAGTGCTCGACGGAATAGATGGCGGCAGAGGGCTGAAAGAAAAACTCATCGATGAGCTTCAGCTGAACCCGGTTTTGAATCGTAATGTGAAGGATTTATCTGGTGGTGAGCTACAGAGGTTTTCCATTGCTGCAGCTGCATTGTATAAGAAAGATATTTACATGTTTGATGAACCCTCGAGTTACCTTGATGTGAAACAGAGGCTTAAAGCTGCTCAGGTGATTCGATCTTTGCTCCGGCCTGATAATTTCGTTATCGTTGTGGAGCATGATCTGAGCGTGTTGGACTATATGTCTGACTTCATCTGTTGTCTATACGGGAAGCCAGGCGCATATGGTGTGGTTACACTGCCATTCTCGGTTCGAGAAGGAATCAATGTGTTCTTGTCTGGATTTATTCCCACTGAAAATATGCGGTTCAGGGATGAGTCGTTTACTTTTAAGGTCGTCGAGACTCCCCAGGAACGTGCTGAGGAAATTCAAGCGTATGCGCGGTACAGGTACCCGACCATGACTAAAACTCGGGGCGATTTCAAACTTAAGGTTGTTGGGGGTGAATTTACTGATTCTCAGATTGTGGTCATGCTTGGTGAGAATGGTACTGGCAAAACCACATTTATTAAGATGTTGTCTGGTCAACTGAGGCCTGATGAAGTAGAGGGTGATGATGTTAAAATCCCAAAATTTAAAGTATCTTACAAAGAACAGATGCCAAGATTCAAGGGCGAGGAAATTGTGCTCAACCTGTTGACTGAAAATATATCTGGTTCATTGTATGACCCTCAGTTTGTTTCAGATGTTATCAAGCCTCTCGAGATTGAACAATTGAAGAATCGAGAAGTGAAGAACCTTTCTGGTGGAGAGTTACAGAGAGTTGCCTTAGCCCTGTGCCTTGGGAAGCCTGCTAATATTTACCTGATTGATGAACCAAGCGCATTTCTTGACTCTGAGCTTCGCATTGTTGCTTCTAAAGTCATAAAGAGATTCATAATGCACAGAAAGAAGACGGCTTTTGTTGTCGAGCACGATTTCATAATGGCTACCTACCTGGCTGATCGTGTCATTGTGTATGAAGGACAGCCATCAGTCGAGTGTGTCGCGCAGGCATCTCAGCCATTGTCGACAGGAATGAATCGATTCTTGTCCCATCTTGACATTACTTTCAGAAGGGATCCAACCAATTATCGTCCGAGAATCAACAAGCTGAATTCAACCAAGGACAGGGAGCAGAAGGCTGCAGGATCATATTACTACCTGGATGATTAAGTTTCCCCATTGGTTGACAAAGGTAAATTGGTTTATGAATATTAGTTACCTTACCACTCTGATTTTATGAGAACTTTTTTTATAATTAGCTTCTGATTATTTTGATGCCAGGATTTGATATTTTAACTTTGTATTCATATTTGATTAAACTGGTTTTATCTTTGGGATCCAGGCTGCCAACAGTCCTTTCTGAACCCTCCAAGGTGGATCAAGGAGCATCGCACTGAGAGGGGCAGTGGCGCCGTTGAAGACTGGTTCGGCCTCGTTGGAAATAAGACTGGACTTTGCTGATGGGAGGTAATGGAGTTACTGATTTTTTTCTGGTTACATATGAAGTCAAAATTGCATTTTAAAAGCTTCATTGAATGCATTGTAGAAGTTGCATTTTAGTTCCAGGGAAGCCCGAAAAACTAAGATTCCTCAACCTGTTGTGATCTGCGAGTGTGGCGGTTTTGTTTCCGGGTGAAATAGCATTTTCTTCTTCTTCAGCTGGTAAAAGAAAGATGGATTAAGTTGATTCTAATGTGAACTTTCAGGATCACCATTTGGTTAAACGACTGAGGAGTTCATCGGGCAGAAGCATTCAAATGCAGAAAGGAACTCAGAGACTCCTGAATAGGCAGACTACATAAGAGGAACTTGCCTTCCGCCGCCGCCTTCATCAGCTCAGTTCCTGTTCTTGCAAGTTATTTTAATTTGTAGGCAGTGATTGAAATGTTAGATAGAGATTTATTTTTATTGCCTCCCTAAACAGAGGCTATTCTTTACTTTGCGCTTTATTTTGTGATGCTGCACATTTTGTCATTATTTCATCAATGTGATCTTATTGCCTCAATATTTTTCCGTCGAGAATCGTAGGAGGCACTTTCCATTTCTATCGGCGTATTAACGACTGTATGAACTCGTGAACTTCTCATTGTCAACAAACACGTTTGGATTTTGGGAATTATAACAGAACAGGACTATAATATTGCACAATCTACTTTAGAAATCGAAAGCGAAAAACAAGAAGATAAAATAGTAGACGATGAGGCGCAACCTAGGATAAAAGACTTTTGTCATGTTTTACAAGTTTAAATCATGCTACGAATAATGCTAACATCATTAGCCTTTACAAAGTTGTCATGGTTTTACTTTCAGTACAGGATTGTGCTCAAAGAAATTGGTTGGCTTGATCTCAAATCCACTGTTTAGAGTTGGCATGACAGGGAAATCTTCCTGGTAGGGTACATGATGGAAGCCTAATGTGTACCACAGCACTATATCTTTGTTTTCTATGTCCCTATTCCTGCAAAAATATCCAGCAGATTGAATTGGTACATCAATTAATCAGTTCATAATGCACAGCTTAATTTCACAAACTTGGAAATTGTAAAACTTGAAAAATCCAAACTACCTGAGGCTCCATTTTGTTAAGTTGTCGTCGCCTCGGCTCTGATCAGTGTATAATCCTGCAGCCCATTTCTCAGATTTGTTGTATTGTGTCACCCACACATTGTACTTTGGAAAACCGGCACGAGATTCTGGGAAATCATCATCAGATAACAGGTTACTAGATACCGATCCAGGGCGCAAACGGTATCCAACATAATTTCCCATCCTAGTTCTCTTGTTAGGATTCACAACTATGAGCTCTGCTGCACCAGAAGAGCAAAGATTAGTCCTCGCATCCGATTCTGTTTTGGCTGTTTCACTGACCACAGTCCAGTAACTTCTTCTAGGCGAGGACTTGTCGAAAACAGGTGTGGGTTTCAATCTAGACTTAACAAATGAATTAGCATAACCATCCACATCTAAATCAAGATGGAAATTCAGGAAATGGTCATGGTAAACTCCTATGGTGTTCTCTGCTAATAATGTGCCATAAACATCCTCCTTAATTTGGTCCTTGTGCGTGTAACTCGACGCCCTCACTTCAAGTATTCCCGTCATTCCAATCTGTCACAACATAATTTGAATTTGAATAAACCAGTAACAAGACTAATCATATGGGAGAAAGGGAGTGAATAAAAACTTACATTAACTTTGATTGTGCCGGTTTGTTTGAATTCCCAGTCAACAATGTAGTCATAGTTGCCAACGGTAGACACCATTCTCACAACGAGGTTTACTTCTGGTCTAACCTCAGTTATCTGCAAGAATGCGGTTAAATCATTGCTCTTTGAAATGAAGGTACTTAAATAAGAAACATGGAGAAAAATCTACTCACAACTTTTCCAGGGATCGCTGTTTCAGTATGTCTCCACAGAACATCTCCAGCATTTCTTTCAAATACACAAATTATATTAGGTGTTTTCGCAGGCGTCCCATCTTGTACAATGTAGTAACCATCGAAGAATACTGAATTTGCTGGACAATCTTTTACTGGTACAAGTGAAGTCGCACATAAGCCGAATCCGAAATCACCCGAATCAAAATATGTTCTATAATACCATTCTTCTGTAAGGTCCATGTAAGGTACAAACACCTCTGATATGAACCCTCTGTACAGAACACTACGATATTCATCCTTCTCAATATCATTGATAGAAGCATGTGATATGATCAAACCAGCTCGCATGTCAAATGCTACATGGAATCTCCAATTAGCCCATCTACAGTTTCATGGAACACATCAGTTATCACCAATCTGTTAGGCCATTACTGATTGCTGAACTTCTGAATGAAACTTAGTAATTAGTATAAATGAACAAGAATGAAGATGACAAAAAAAAATTTAATACCTTATCACATTTCCATCAATGGCAAAACCCGGATGAACATTTTGTTGCGGCCCTGTTAAATTTTCAGTAGTTGAATTCAACAATGGTGGCTTCCCCTGATTCACTACTTCTCTGTAATCCGTCCCCTCTGCTTTTGGCACCGGAACAATCGACCGATCAACATAACCCGTGATCTTCATCACATCAAGATCAACAGTCACTGTAATCCCTTCAATTGGCCTCATGTACAAATTAACCGTACCATCCAAATAATAACACATAACCGTGACAACCCTTTTGGTTTTCTCCTCTCCAAACCACCCAACGGTGAAACTCTGGCACACAGTTTCTTCCAATTTGAGTTTCCTCTTCTTGACTGATGCTAAAAATGGCCCGTAAGTGAATGGCAGCTTGTTGGCCGCTTCCTGTTCGGCAAAATTTAACAGAGGATAGCCGTGCCCGTCATGGATTTTGTTAGAGATGACTGCTGAATCAGTCAAGTCTATGATTATTTCATGGTTTGAGTGATTGATTCGGGCAAGAACAGAGGCTTGCCGATGTGGGATTTTTGTGGGTTCTTCTTCTTCTTGTTCTTGAAGAAATGAAAGCACGATTGGTTTATCAGGTTCGTGTAAACCGACATAATGGAAGCTCAGGCTATGGCAACTGGATGAAGTTGATGAACAGAATGCGTTTTTCACTATAGTTTGAACTTGAGTTAGCTCTGAGGATGTGAGGGAATCCAGAGGGTGTAAGTGTGATGAGTAATCTTTGGTTGTGGAGATGAAGCAGAGATTAATGGCGAAAATGCATAGCAGGAAGAGGAGAAATCTGAGGTCTGAAGACATTGAAAAATCAATGCCATATTCTGTCATTTTGATGGATTTATCTTCTTCTAGTCAGTAGCTCTTTTGGATTGATTAATGTAGTATTGGTTAGCAGATGGGTTAGATTTTGTCTACCTCTTTTTATTATCAACATTATAATACAAGTTGATGAGAAAATGACCATGGGCAGCCCTATTTTGTCTTCTTTTTTCCCTTGTTTTTGTTCTTTTTTTAGTATTATTTTTATTTTTTTCTGATGAACAATGAGCACAGGTTTAAAGCCTATGGTTCTTTAGATATTACAGAGTTCACCACTTTTACTTTCATGGTGGCGTAGTAAGCTTATAAAGAACGGGTAATACCAAAAGAATATAATTCTCGATTTCTATCTAACGCTTCCTTAATTAGGGTGTCGATACATAAATTATTTTCTCTAAATTTATAGAAAAACTCCACAAATAATCTCCTCCTTAACAAGTTTTTGATTTTTTCTCTTATCATGATCCAAAATAGCTCCTCGACACTTGCAAAGCACATTGGAGGTCAGTTGCTAACCGAGTCATTTTTCATTAGTGAATCTCGACGTAAAAGTGAAGTTGGAACTTGGAAGGCAGTTGACGAGATCAATGTTATTTTTCTTGTTGTAGTTGCTTCTGAAAGAAACGAAAAAACCAAAAATATTCTAAAATATTTAAAGATTACAATTTATGGACAAAAAACAAATAATATCAAAGATAACACGTTTACGAATCAGGTCACTTACAACTTTTTAGTGCTTCACATCACCTAAGGATTAATCGTATGCATTAAATAATTGGCATTTTTTATCCGAAAAATGTCATGGTCACTTGTAACTATGCTTATGTCTCTTTCTATGTACCGAAAGAAAAAATTAAGTGTAATTTCTGTCTATTGACTTAACCATTCTTAATTATCGAAGACCGTTAGCTAATGGAGTAATAAATGGAAGTAACTTCAATCTTTTACTGTAAGTTTGGGAAACTAGTTGGGGTAATCTCTCAAATTAATTTGGATCCCTCAATTATTATTCTTTGTTATTTTGAGTCCCCTAAACTATTTATATAGGTAAATGACTTACCCTTCTCCTTCCATACAAAAGGACAGCCGCCTCTAACCCTCAATTGATCTCCCCGTCTTCCGACAGCCGAAACCACCGCCTTCCTCTCCGTCAACCGACACCGAGGCTTCTTATTTCGAGTATTTTTTCCTCTGTCCCATCAACCAAATTGTTCGAAACCCTCAACAAAGATTTTTAATTTATTTCTTTTTTAGATTCCTTTTGCTCGAGGAATTTGGGTATGCGATTGAAAGCTTAATTTATCTGAAATCTGGCCTGGGTTTGGCTTGATTGAGAAAGATATGAGTTCCGAACAATGCAAAGGATGCAGAAGAAGAACAATTGTGGAAGATTTCGAAACTGGGAAATTCGTGTGTACATCATGTGGGGTTGTGCAGGATTTTGTGAATTTTGAAGCCCAGCTTGCTGACATTAATGGCCCTATTGGCACCCAGATCCGATTAGGAACTGCCGGCTCCGGCACTGTTTATAGTTACAAAGAGACGAAAATTTATCTGGCCCAGAAGAGTATTGAAGATTTAATGCTTAAATTAGGATTATCTTCGAGATGCGACGACGTGAGAACCATGGTGGAGAGAGTGACGGACGGCGAATACGGTTCCGGGAGATGGTTCCCGATCTTTGTTGGTGCTTGTGCTTACATTGTGATGCGGAAAGACAAGAAGCCGTTGTCAGTTGTGGAAGTGGCGGATTTGGTTGGATGCGATAGTAATGAAATGGGGCGGATGATCAATCGGGTTGTGGATTTTCTCGATTTGAAGTTGCCGGAATTCGACATTATCAGCTCTTTCGAACGTGCCGTTAAGCATTCCCCGAGTTTTGTAGGCCTCTCTGAGGATTTAGTTGGGGTAATGTTAAAGCAAGGTGTGTTTTTGATTCAGTGTTCAATGAAGTGGTATTTAACCACAGGGAGAAGGCCTATGCCCATTGTGGCTGCTGTTTTGGTTTTCGTGGCGGAATTGAATGGTGTGAAGGTGAAGATTGAGGAAATTGCCTCGGAATTGCACGTTGCATTTCGGACTTTAAAGAAGCGGTATAGTGAGCTATTGCATAGGCTTGTGAAGGTTGCACAGGCCGCGTTACCTTGGGGGAAAGACATTACTGTTAAGAACATTTTGAAGAATGCTCCTTTTGTGATTCAGTACATGGAGTTGAAGTCCACGTCAAGGAGGAAACAAATGAGCAGTTTTGAGGATGCTAGATTTGATTTGGATGATCTAATTGATGATTGTCTGAAAAAGGAAAGCTCGTACGGTTATGATGATAGTAGCAATGCTGGCGAACATAAGTTAAAGTATTTCGAGGTTGCAGAGTATCCTTCAACTGTGAGTGTTGATCGTCCTGATGAAGTACAGATTTCTCAGAAAAAGTTGTCCACTATTTATTCCAAGCTTTTGGATGAGTGTTGTTTGGTCAGGTGCTCCGCAGCTAAGAAAAGGAAGGATGATAACAGGCAAATGCATAACATTAGTTCCGACTACATTAGAGACTGCAGGGAGTGGTGGACAGGGAAATCAGAGATGAGTAGAAAACTGTTGCTGAAACAAATAGAGGAGAAAGATGTTGGATTGAATGCTGAAGCTCCGTCTTTCGACAGAGGGTTGTTGGCATGTCAAAAGAGGAGAGCAAAGATTAGTGCTGCTAAGTTGCGGATACAGAAGATTATGCACCCATCTGAAGTTGGCCTTGATGCAGAAAATAGCAGTGTCTTCCCACAATCTGAAAGTCCTGATGGTAAGAAAAGGAAAAAGCATTGTGGCACTGGAACAGATTGGGAAGATTTCGTTATTGAAACCCTTCTCCTCCATCAAGTGAAAGAAGAGGAGATAGAGAAGGGGCATTACAATGCCTTGTTAGATTTGCATGTTTTCAATCACTTGGAAGGAAATCCAAAGGCCCTCACCATTAAGCATTGATACTTTCTATTTTAGTTTTGGTTTGAAGTTATAGTAGGAACTACCATAGCTTACAATTCTTTAAAAGGCAGTCTAATTCATTACTTTGTCACCATATGTTCGTTCATTCAACCAAATCAACTTGTGCATGATCTGGAGCGACTTGAACCCAGAAAAACGGTGACAAAATGACTGAAGTCGATTGCACCAGTGGTTTTTGCATTCATTTCACTCCACCTCATCACAAGGTCCTAGATAGTTAGTAGATATCAGCACACATTTACATCATAACACCTTATAAAAATATAGAAACTGAGTAAGTTTATCTGAACAATTTCACCTATCTAATGTGGCATTGCTGTAATAAATTACTTAAGGACATTCACTTTTTGTTTTCTCCTCAATGAGGTAGATGACAATTTTTGGAGGAGTTTGTGCACTTTAAGAACTCCATATGCCCTGATTTGTACAAACTACAAAGAAAGAGTAGAGCAGAATTCTCAGCTTTCCCTCACGAGTGGAGCCTGACTTTTGAAGTAAAATCTAGAGGGATCAGAGGGCTATTATATTTATAGCGTATTTAGAAAGTGTACAAACTGATGGAAACCTAACAATAAGCAAACTGAAGAAACTTTTTATCAAAGCCTTTTTGCAATTGGCTATTTCATAAAACCACAGGCCATTCAGAGTACTCTAGATCTTAAAACAATGACAAAACATCAATTGCCGCAACCCAAAAACACCCTCCAGAATTCAAGGTCATTTTTCATACTAGGTTGCGGCAATAATTAGGACAGGAGTAGTACGAGTTAACTTATACCAAAAGTGCCAAAAAAATACAGGTCCTTTTTTCATAAACTGACTTCATCTGCCATCATGCCTTGGACTTCTTGCCCTGGCCTTCTTTGCCGGGTTTCTTCTTGAAAGGAAGGAATGTTACTCCACCCATATGTTCCTGTAAGACTTTCGGTATGGCAACACCATCCTCTCTCTGATAGTTTTCAAGAATGCAACACATGGTTCTTTCTGTAGCTGTGAGGGTAGAGTTCAACAAATGCACATACTGCTTCGCTTGTTCATTACTCTACATAGGCAAGGAGTGATTTTGTCAATGGAACTAATTTTTCTGGTTTTTGTTTAAATACTTTTTTTAAAAGAAAGAACAAGAATCTAGAACAAATCACTGTTGCAAACCTTGTTGATACCAAAGGCTCACAACAGGGAAGATTATGAACGCAAATCAGTTTTCTAAAGGATAACCAAGTAAATAGTTTCACCTTTTTCTGCCCATAGCGAATTTCCAATCTTCTTGACTGATAATCTGTGCAGTTAGAGCATGACACAAGCTCTCTATATGCTTTGGAAGCAGGGAACCATGCTTCTAAATCTAACTTCTTTGCAGCCGCATCGTTAAGGGCACCAGACACAATCGCCACAATTTGGTAGGGAAGTCCTAGCTAAAATAAAAAAGGAAGAGGGATAAAACCAGTAATAATTGTAATAAATAAATGAAGTTACTTGAATGCAGAAAATGACAAAAACAGTATGAAAATGATCATTGATACCAAAAAAGTTGAAAGGGAAAGATAGAAGACAATATCAAGCATTTAGGAGAAACACCTTAGGGGGTAGAGACACCCAAAAAAAAAAAAACGAAAAAAACAAAGTAAAAGGCAAATTAACACCAATACCTCCTTATAAAACTCTTCAGAGTTATTGATCATTTCCTCATGCATGTCCCAAGAATCGTTGCCATTTGGGCTAGTTATACAGAATTGTTCTACTTTCTCAAACTGGTGAACTCTAAAGATTCCAAGAGTGTCTCGACCATGAGAGCCGGCTTCTTTGCGGAAGCACGACGAATATCCAGCATATCTGACAAATGGAATGGAATGTAAGAACAGTGGAGGCTGTCCTCCTTGACACAACACAATCTCACCAGATGTAGTTTCAGTTCATAAGGCAGTAGTTTGAGAAGAACAATACCTGAGTGGAAGCTCGGACGGATGGATCCAGTCATCCATGTGATAAGCACACAATGGCTGTTCTGCTGTTGCTATCAGATATTTATCATCTCCATCACCAGTTACCTACAAAACAAATAAGAACTCAAGCACTGCCGAAGGAAAAAACTTCTCAAACTTAATGTCCTGCCTCCACTGAAAGACAAAACTTTTTAATTTTAATAGTTAATGTCATGGCCTTGATCACACCATGATGGAAACTCTTACATGACTTGCATATAAAAATTTTACCCAAGATGGGTACAATCTCGCAATAGAAAATAAGAAGAAATAAGAAACCAGGACATTCGGGTTTGTGGTGGGAAAGGGGACTCAACACCTCGAACTGAGAAGGCAATCTATGCTACCCAGTCAAATAACGCATATATTAGTTAATATTTGGGGAGTGACTATATAAATGATATTGGAAACTATAAAAGGAGGGATGGGCGGACAACCAGCTAAACCTAAAACATAGATACCTTTTCTTGACTCATTAAAAACAGTAGTACAGATGGGAATCAAGTTTGGAAGCTTGAAACTTTGTTGCAAGTGCTTCTTCAATCAAATCATTTATAACACATAAAGCTAACCAAGCAACAACAGCTAAAAAGTTACACGAAATTTCACTGATCAAAAAGGAATGATAAGCAAAGTGTTCAGCAAAAACAGAAGCAACTGCATAAATTCATTTTGTTTAAATGATTATAATAAATAAGTTCCATATTCTCTTTTATGTTTCTGGAGTGATCAAAATAGCAAACCAACTCAGTTCTACTGAAGAGGTTTCATATATTGTTTACAACTAAAATGTGATGTTTTAAGACAATCACAATGGAAACTCCACACAAAAGAGGAGTTTTGGAAAGATTGTTTTGTCAACTATGTAAAATTTTCCACCACCTAGATTATGGCCCACTGCCACTTTATACTCAACATGGAAGGCGGTATTCATCAAATTATGATACATAAAGCAGCCAGGTATTTATCAAATTATGATACAATCCACCAGCCAGCTAATTATAATAAGAATAATTTGTAGCACCAGGTGTATTATTACCTTATAAAGTTCTTCATCAAACTGAGCCAATTGGGCACACTTCCCCATTATTTCTTTCCTCATAAAAAATGGAGTATGCAGAGCTTGATATCCTTTTGTCTTCAAAAATTGGAGACCATAATTAATGAGAGCTTGATTCAGAAGAACACCATCTCCTTTCAAATAGAAACCTCTGCCTCCAGCTACATTTGTACCTATTTATAGAGCATATAACACGTGTCAAAAGGTGCTGATTGCTTGACTTCTTCTCCAAATAAAAAATGAGAACAGCTACAATGGCAAAATAAGGTGCCCGAAGAAAATACAGGGCAAATTGAGTGTTTCCAAGATTCCAAATGTGAAGATAAATGCAAAGTTTAATAAAAAGTTTATTCAACAACGTTTACTAAATTATTCTACTTTGAAAATTCAATCCCAAATTGACTTCGAGAAAATAAATGAGAAACAGGTAAAGAAAACAAAAGGTAAAATACCAACATCATATATAATTCAAAACAATCTTATCTTCAAAAGTAGTTTTTACCAGTCAGGCTTCCTTGAACTATGAAACTAATAAAATTCAGTACCTTTTTCCGTATCCGCAATTCCAAGAAGTTCAACCAGATCAACATGATTTTTTAGGTTTTGTTCAGTCCTCTTCTCCCCCCAGGTTCGAATAACTTTATTCTCTGCCTGTCAATATGTCCCACTTGTCAAAATTAGCTAAAAGCAACCCAAAAATGATTTGGTTGCTGGACAATTGCAACAAAAAGTTCCAGAAAATAGAACGCATACCTCATCGTTACTAATGGGAACTGAATCGTGCACAAGATTGCCAATAATCTGCAGTTTTGCATTTAAGGCCGCCAATGTGTCCTTAACTTCTGCAGTTTTTTCTTCCGTCAATGTTTTGTTATCCTTAACTTCTGCATTTTTTTCTTCTGTCAATCTGTTGTTTTCTTCAGTATCGGTGGCAGTTCTGCTTGCCTTCCTCCCAGAAAACGAAAACAGAAAAAGTTAAATGTTCACTTCAAACATAGGAAGATACAATTTGCACATTAATCGGAGTGGTTGAGGATTACTATCTCATACTTCAGCAAACAAAATCCTAATATCCGAACAGATCCCAGTAACCCAAACTGAAAAAACCTTAAAAATCTAAAAAAGAGTATATATATACAACTTACAATTTTAAGACGGCCAATCTCTTTGCTGAGCCTGTTGAGGTCTTTTCTCAAATTATCAAGCTCAAACTGCTCTAAAACCCCAAAAAATCAAATAAACTTATCAGAATAAATTAACCCAACAAACAAAGGGCAAAAATTAAATTTAAAAAAAAAAATCACGGTTTAACAAGATGGAAAGAGCTTACTCTGACGCCATAGTTTGTCAAGCTGGATAACTTCATCAACAAGATTGACATCGGCAAAACGACGCCTCTGGGACTCCCTAATGACTTCAGGGTTGTTACCCTTGTCTTCCCGGAACAAATTGATATCCAACATCCCTGCACTAAACCAATACCAAAGAAAGAAAGAAGGGGTAAAAGATAAAATTTCAATTCCAACAAACACAATGCAAAGCCCACAAGATTCAAACAATATAGAGAACAAAGAGAGTACCCGGCGGTGGAAATCGACTTGGTTGGACGGAAACCTAGATGGGCCGACGGTGGATGAGGAGGGGGATTTAACAGAGCGGCGGAGATGTGAGAAGTAAAAGTATGAAGAGAACCCCTTAATCTTAACCTGCAGCCAAATTGAAGACTCATACTATTTCTTTGTAAAGAATTTTTCAATACTTTTATAGTATCTTACTGGCCCAACGTAAATTATCCAAGTTTGGTACCCAATGTTTACGTTTTTTAATGTTTTGACCTCCAAAATCTAATTTTCTCTCAAATCCCTTCTCAATGAAAGTGTTCGAAGAAATTAAACTCTATTTAACGTCTTTTTCATGGATTATCTAGTGTATTTGTTGTTACATATAAGAGTTCTTTCATCTTAAAATGAAATTTGTAAGTAATATTCTATCTGTGTTAAGTTATTGTCGAATTCTATAATCTTTATCTGATAACTTATTGGCCGGATTTAAGCTAAGCAACTAAAATATGGCCAATGTTTTTGACCTAATGGCACAAGGACAAATGATAGTTGGGAAAGATTAGTGTAAATTAGCAAGTCAAACGAGCTCTAGTTAAAATAATACTACATCCGTCCCACAAAAATAGTCCACATTGAATTTTCAAATTTGCAATAAAAACAATACAAAAACTCAAAATTTAACGTGGACCATTTTTGTAGGACGGTGGGAGTAATAATGATAATAACTGTGCAAATAGCTCTAAAAACGGACTGAATTCGATGGGCATCTTGGCCGCGGGAATTTGATACCCATGATCGAAACATGTTGCCATTTTAAGCAGGAGCTTCTTGTTTTAGACTCAACCAGAAAATCAGTGAAGCCTGATTGCTGGTTTTCCCTTCTTTTTTTTCTTAACAACTGCATCGACTTTGCATTGAGTATTGACGAAAAGAACACATAGTTACATAAAAACATCGTATACAAATACAAGGCGTCACACGCTTGTATTTCCTGAGGAGCGCGCGTTTATGCCAATTTAAACAGCCTAACAAAACTCACATACATTTATCTGTTACCTACAAACTTCAACAACAGAGTAATATTTTCCCCAAAAAAAAAAAAAAACAACATAGTAATAAAATAGACGATATTCTCATCAGCTTATTCAGAGTAATAATGCATCAGTACAAGTTTCCCGACTCTGACGATAATAAATTTGCAACATCACAAACTGGAGAATTACATACTCCCTCCGTCTTATAATTATTGTCCAGTTTAGATTTTCATTTTTAGTTCAAATTGTACTAAAAGTGAAATCTCAAATTAGACAATAATTTTAGGACAAAGGGAGTATTAAAAAAGGAAAATTATCTTAGTCTCCATTAGGAGACTTGGAGCAGATTCTGGACAGGAAGGATCACAAACAGAGAGAATCCACTTGAAAGTGTAACGAATTTATCACGTGTGACAATACGAACCCAGTAGCAAATGCATCTCAAAAAACTTCCTAGTCTTCTTTCTATTTAAGGGATATGTTTCTCCAATTCCAAAATTAGATCTATACACTAATGTTACATTCGGACCTAACACATATAAAAAAATTCCTATGCTACAGACTATATAACTCACACCAAAAGAATGAAGTATTGAAATAGCGAATCGAGGCTTTCTTTCTTTAAATAATCTCATTTTCACCTTTTTCTGTATATGCTGCCATGCCCATTCTGAACTTGAATTAGCAGCATCCAATAAATTAATACAAGTTGTGTGTCCTGTGCAGCATTATCCTCGTGAGACTTACCAATTTACAAGGTCGTTGAAGGCAAATATCCTTGACCAGAAGAGAGACAAAACCAGGAGAAGAGGTGCATTCGATATCTCGCGTATGAACAGCCTTTTGACTTCCCATTACATTTCCAAAGCCAGGAAAGGGTCTTGAAGAATATCGTCATCCATTGACACGCAGAGATGGCAACTTTGGATGATCAGTACTTATTAGGTTCACCCACAAATTTGCCAATCTAAGAAAACAATGTTCTCCATCCCAGGATACCATTGCCATCCCTGATGCATCAGAGAGATCAATAGCGGGATCAATAGAAACGTAATCGCTCTCACTAATTCATAAAATAATAAAGACAGTTTCTGAAGAATTTACACTGAGTATCAGGACATAATATATCCCTTTTTTTCCTAAACTATAACCATAAAACATTCCCATTCAATGACATGCTGACTAATTATAAGCCTTTAAATGTCCAGCTTTCCACTTTTTTTTCCTTTTTTTACCCAAGAAAATTATCTTATTCACAAACACTAACACATGAAGCGTAACAATCTACACTTACCAGGAGCAACGTCTGGAGTCAGAAGTGATAGCCTGCATAAGGGTTCTTGAGGGCTGAAAACATGGTTCTGAAGAGCCAATTCATCAAGATCATAAATATATTCGACTGAATCCAAAAGTGCTGGAAGATTGGGGTAACCCTCAGAAAGTGCAGCATCTATAACACTGGAGAGGGCTTGCTGAAGACCGGAGGAAGACCACGACGAATGACACTCTTCCAGAAGAGAATAAAGCTTAGATAACTCAATATGACTTGATATTATCCATGGTTTGTAAAGCTTAACTGAAGCTTCAAGTAACACAGCAGCCCTGTAAATCTCCCCAAGGGCTAGAACAAATGTTTTGCCTGTCATTATGGCCATAAGATGTTGAATTAAAAAATGATACAGTTATGAGACATTTAAACTGATGATAAGATACTACTATGAATTTTTCAAGGCAAAACTATATTTAATAAGTACAACTATAAAATTGTAATCACTGCAATATCTTCCATATAGGCATAATAAAGGAGTGGTACCTCCAGGCTCAACCAATATCTGAGAGGAAATATTCTTTTCCAATGCCTGTCTCCAAATTGCAGCGCCGTGTCGCATCTCCTGAGCACATGCAGAGATCATCTTTGACCACACAGAGACATAGCTTGATTGGACTTCTGATGATCCCAACATCAAAATCTTCAGCATAGTTTTTGCATGTTGTATTAGTTCTACGACTGATCCAACATCCTTCTCAACCTGGAAACAAGGACAGGCATAAATGATTGTGCAAAATAATGCAAACATATTTCTTTTACTTATTGTAAATATTGAAAGACTCCAACAAATTATATCCAGCACACAGGACTTTCAGCAGGATAAAACAATCAAATAAGTCAAGAAACAGCCATGTTCATCAAGCAGCAATAACATAGAAATGAGCAATTGGTAGTGTCTAGTCAGACAGACATTTTGTGGCGGCACAAATAGAGGCCTCGAATCATTAAAAATAGATAAATTGAGAACTACTGCAACTAAGGTGCAATCACCAACAGAAACTCAACTAGCCTAAATTCATGATTCTTATCCTATCCAGTTGTGTCCTTTAACTTTTATTTCATTGAAATCAAAAGGGCAACCATCTGCATCTTAATGCACAAAGTTATTCTAAAGATATGTTAAGATCATCCAGAGGAAGATCTGGAAATTTTTCATTAGCAAAGGATTATCAACACCAAACTAACTCTCATAATCTGAGCAGTCAAAAGTTTGCATGCAGACACTTCGAAGCACTCCAAAATCATATATTTCCAAAAGCACGTTATTACTCTTTTCAAACATGGTCTGCAGTGACATAACCCAGTGTTTGCAAAGTATATGTAATATCAACTTCAGTGGCTGATTCCTGGATTAATTACAAGAGCCCATCTTAAATATATCCTTTTTTATTCACACGATGATGAAATATCTATCAAGGAAATGAGCAGCCTTGATCATTATAATACATGATCATGAAACTTTCCAGATACAGCCCTAGTGTCACATAGGAAGAGACCCAATACCTCTAAAAGTTTCCTCTCTAAGTCGTATTCCATCTGAAAAACATGGAACTTCGGTTCTTGTAAAAGATCAACAAAATTGTTGAGATTACTGTCTCTGCTAATATGATTCCCCAAATTGTCTTCTTCTGTAGTTGCATTTTCAGGTCCAAGTTCTTTAACCTAGCATTTGAAAGAAGAATATTAATCGGCACAAAAAATACTGTTAACAATAAGAAAGATAATCAAATGAAAAACAAACTGTATGGACGGCCACGAAATGTCTATGCAGAATAAAAGCAGATAGTGTACCATTGCACTGTAGCATAATCATATCAAAGATACTACAGAACTAAAAGAAAACTCATTCAGTAATTTTTCACCCAGGGCTCATTGTTGGGGGGTGCAAGAATCTGAAGCTGAAGCCATATGAATGGACTAAGCAATCTCAGCACATGAATGCACTCACCAATTTCTTTCTTAATTAACTATTAAATGATTCATGCTTAAGAAGTTCGATTTCCATTCATCTGTTTCAGAAGTAAAATTTCACAACCCCTCAACCAGCCACTAGCAAAATCAAGAAATATCTCACTGGGCAACAATGCACTTTAAGGAACACCACAAATGCACAATATAAAACAAAAGTTTCCAATTCATGCCAAGGAGAAAAACATGTACTGAACGAATGTTCAGTTCCAAACAAGGAAGCCACATAAAAAGAAGAGAACATCCAACCTGGATTTCTTCAGCAAGAGCAGCCCAGTTCTCACCACTTTGATTGTCCTGATAAAATGAAAGAAATAAGTCATGCTAAAGGAAAGATGGCAAAAGAGATTTCTTTACAGATTAAAGAAACTGCCCATTCAAAGAAACTATGCTAGGTGCAAACCTTTAGGCTTGCAAGATGATCTTTTGCAATGAAGTATAACTCGTCCTGTAACTTAGAATAAAAGTCCACATAGCTTTGTAGCTTCAGTTTGCTAGAACTCCTTTCATCTGCGTTTTCATTTTCATAAGGCGATCTCCCACTTTCAGCAACATCATGAGAGAAGGAATCCTTAAATTCCCAAGAACTATCATCATTGGCATCAGAAACAGTGTTGGATGGACCCAATCCATTTTCAACTAAGTTAGACACTGGGCTGGAAGAACTGACATGTTCATCTTGGCTGTACAAATTCGATATGAGATCATTGATCGAAGTCGGCAACTTTGGACTATGATCATTTCCCTTGGAAGGGGCAGGTTGAAGAATGAAAGCATCATCAATATTTGAGGACCCATCAACTTCATTTTCTTCCTCACCAAAAATAGACAAGGGCAGGGCACCTTGGTACTGTTGCCGTCTAATCTCATTGTCCTGCAAGTTTACACAACTAAAGTTTAGATATATTCCAATATTCTGCATTTCATAAACCTTGACATGAAATTATCAATCATCTACCTGGACATTATTATCACGTTCAAGACCTTTTGGCTCAGACGGTTGATCAAAAATCTTCAACTCTCCCTATAGCACAATAAGAGGACAAAACTTTCATCGGCATCATTCCAAAAGGTTTTAAGAAATTTACAGCTTCAGCTAACCTTTTCTCGAAGTGCATTTTCAGCAGATGCTTCCCTGAAATCCCCAAAAATCTCATCAGATTCAGCAGGTTTATCAAAATCAGGATCCTGCACACCTGTGCCTTCCAACTGTTCACTCCTCAATGATTTATCAAATGTATAACTATTGTGAGCAGCTTCAGCATGATCAGTTGCAAGGAAATTTATATCCAGTCCCGCACTGACTTCATTCGGATCACCAAACTTTCCATTGGAAGGTTGAAAAAGGTTAGTCGATCCGTGGAACGCAGGAAAATCCACTAGTCCATTTGAAGCATCAAATCCCAGGGAGGATGCATTTTTGTTAGGTGGTTCAAGCACCTTAGAGTCAGCCTTTAAGAACAAGAAAATGTGCAAAATTAGGTTTATCTGAAACAGTAACAGGCAAGTATAATTGGAAAAGGTTGGAGAACCGAAAATTTATGTACTACTGTCAAGTTCGAAATACGAAAAATCTACAATAAGTTGACTGCAACTCAAAATACTAATTAACTTAATAGTGGAACCATGACACCAACTCATATGGATCTGCCATTGTCAAGGTACAACAACATGTCTTTATCTCACTATGTGGGATCAGCGACATGAATGAGTTCAACTCCCTAAAACAAGAATGAATTCAAATGGCAAATAACGAATGATTATAAACAACCCACCTCTGACATTTCTGCACTTTCCACATAAGCAGCAGCAAAGTCTCCAAAATCTTCATCAGAATCAGCAGTTTCAGTAACAGAATGAGGATTCAGTATGGCATTACTGCCAGTCTGATCACCACTTAAGTATGCATCTGAGGCAACTTGATTGTCAGTTGTATTACTGGAACTGATACCGAATCCAACATCCAACCAGTCACTTTTACTTGAAAATCCATTTGACATTGAAAACAGATCATCAGATCCATTAGACGCAGTAAATAAATCAGTTGATCCGACTGTGCCATTTCCAAGTTTAGGTATGGCATTGTTCTCGTCTGTTCGCTCAACCTCAACTGGATATCTAACCTTCATAGCATTAAGATGTCAGTTTAGAACCCAATAAAATAGGTCTTCAATAGCTGAAAATTGGAAAACTCTGTGAAGCATTCAGTTATCCAATTCGTTTCATTCTCATACAACAGGTGCACATACGCTATTTTTACAGAAATGCAAATTCCAACTCTCAAAATCAGAATTTTTGCTAAGGAATGAAGAATATGGAATAAAGTATCTGAGCCATAAATCCTAGTCCAATGAGAAATTACATGGCTTTGATAGTAAAGAAATTGACACTCGAGGATCACAGTGAATATACTAAAAACTCAGCAAAACCACAGAGTCAAGATCATTACCTTTTCATTCGATTCGCCAACTTGGGAAGGTGCATGTGCATCTTTGAACTCCCACTCCCATTCATCATCATCATTACCATCACCATCAATATCATGATCGCCATCACCGTCATCGTTCTTACTACCATGGAATTCTTCTTTTTGCCGATTAAAATTCAATGTTTTATCTACCCCATTGGTAGTTACACTAGACGGGAATAAATTCGACTCGTTTACATCTGATTTCAAATTCAGTCCATCAAAAAGAGTATAGCTGGTAGCTTTCATATCAGAACCTACACCATCTGAATTATTCCGAGAACGGACATTCTCATCACCACTCTGCAGGCTATGATCATTCACATTTGTCATCACATTGGAATTCAAGTTAGCATTAAAATCAACATTCCAACCACTAAAATCCAGGTCCAACGCATTCAAATTCGAAGTGATTCCATTTGAACTACCATTAACCCCATCCTTCCATTGCAGAGTCTGACTACTTAAATCCATTGCACTATCAGAATCACCCCTCTTATGCATGGAAACACCAACGAAGTTCCATTCATTCGACTCCAAATTCGAATCTTTCCGGCCGATATCAGCTCCATTAGTATCCAAACCCACCCCGTTCACAGGCACATCCACCCCATTATTTGTTATACTCGAATGCTGATTATACAAACTTGTAATGGCGTCATAATTGAAAGAAAAGCCTAAATTACCATTAGTCTTCAATGGATCACTAGCATTATCAACTTTCTTATTGGTATTCAAGTCCTTACCGTCAACATGATGCGGACCAGTCAGACCAGATCCCGCTGCCGCCTCTTCATTCTCGTCTTCTTCAATATCACCAAAGATTGACAGCGGAATAGCTCCTTTTAGCTTCACCCATCCATTCTGATTCTGATTCTCCTTCTTTTGCTCCACAGTAGGCTCAAACTTGGCCGGAGCTGAATTCCCGGAATCTGATTTCTCCAAATTGGAAGTGGGATTTGGATTTTGAAAGAAACCATTAAAAGGGTCGAGCGAGGATGATTTGGAAGGTGTGTTGTTGGAAGATGTAAAGGATCCAAGTGGGGTTTCGACAAAATCACCCCATTCATCATCATCATCGCCGCCACCATCATCTTTTCCGGTGGGCGCAGCGGTGGTGGTGGTGATTGGGGATTTCAGGCCGTTGTTCTGGTGGGTTTGTGAATTGGAATTGATTGATGATGGATTGAATGACGCAAAAGTGAAGTCTCCGAATCCATCATCGTCATCGTCCTCGGCCATCTTCTTGGAAGGATTGCCGGAGATCTTTTTTATCTCGGTTTCCTATTTAAAGTGATCGAATCTCTTTCATTCTGTGCGTGTGAAAATTTTGAGTCATAACCTTTTGAGTAAGACGTAAATTAGTGGGCTGTTTGGTTTTACGTTTTAATTTGGTAGTTGGCCATGTGGTCCAAACTCCAAACAATGGTGTCGGTCATTTTGCAATTTGCACTATTTCCCTCACAAAGTTGCCCAAGCAGAGATTATGGTCCCAAATAGAAGGAGAACAATGTTTTGTTTAAAATTTTCAACATAGGTGGATCATTTTATTTTGAAACAATTATCATATATACTTATCGTATTTTTTCATATGAGATGATAATTATTTTGAGACGAAAATAATTTTATTATATCATTGAAGCACGTTAATGAATAGTTGCATACAGCGTACTCAAAAAAAGTTTTTTGTTCTGTTAGCCCCTCTAGTAAGAGTTTTGGCTCATTCATATTTGGGTACTTTCCTCTTCCGATCTGAAATTATCCTTCAGATTTTTTTTTTTTTTAGTGTATTTTAGATTTCTCTTTGAGAGATCTTCTAGGTATATTTAGTGTAAATTTTTGTCCATGGAACCAATTAAACGAGGAATATTTTTTGACGAATTTTTGATGGACATGCAGTAGGTGAACAAGAAGATAATAGACATATTCATTGTTGATCTAATTTTGTAGATATTCAAGATCTGAAGACTGATTCCAGATCAGCATTGCAAGTTAGATCTTCAAAATTTATAAATTAGAAGGTTTATCTTTCACTTTTGGAATGTAGAATTGCGATTAGATTAGTGATGTTAATTAGATCTAGAATCATGGCTCTCTTCTGTCATATTAGATTTAGCTGATTCTTATACAAATCTTCTATAATTTTGTATATTTTGATATGTTTTCTAATAAAATATAATTATCGTTTGGTAAAAAAGAACTAGTACAACAAATAATATAAACCTAATTGGGCATTTTAAAATGCAATAAACGACAACTAGATGACTAAGCAGCCAATGTCTCTTGGAGCTTGAAGATGATGGAATCTTTTGGAGTTCTTAATGATTGGATTTAGCTTTATACCGAACACATTATAAACAGAAACACAAAATAATAATCCCCCCTGGTCACACAATTGAGCGCATAATTAGTATAATCAGGTGCTCTATTAGTGGTGATCAGGGTGAGTGTGTGACTGTGTGAAGCTTTTGATTCTTTGGTGAACAGCTAAAGAAATTTGATCAAGAAATCAAATGGCAGCACAAAATTCATCATCTCCTCCCGCCAAGAAATTAGAAGGGAAAGTCGCAATCATCACCGGCGGCGCAAGTGGCATCGGCGAAGCAACAGCCAGGCTTTTCTGCAATCACGGCGCAAAAGTTGTGATCGCCGACATCCAAGACGAAAAGGGTCAAGAAGTTTGCGACTCAATCGCCTCCGGCTCCGGCATATGCAGCTACGTTCACTGTGACGTCACCGACGAAGAACAAGTCAAATCCACGGTGGACCACACCGTCCAAACGCACGGAAAACTAGACATCATGTTCAGCAACGCCGGAATCCTAACGAAAACCGATCAGGAAGCCCAGATCACGGACCTCGATTTGACCGACGTCGACCGACTCTACGCGGTCAACGCGCGCGGCACCGCGGCGTGTGTGAAACACGCGGCGAAGGCCATGGTGGATCACCGCGTGAAGGGCAGCATCGTAATCACCGGGAGCACCGCCGGCGTGTGTGGGGCGGACGCGAGGATCGGGTATCATATGACGGAGCACGCGATTCAGGGGCTGATGAGGTGTGCCGGAAAGCAACTGGGGAGATTCGGGATCAGGGTGAACTGCGTGTCGCCGTCGGTGGTGGTGACGCCGTTAATCTGCAATATATCGGGGAGGAGTAAGGAGGAACTTGAGAAGTTCTTCCAGAAGACGACTGATTTGACGGATCGAGCGCTGGGAGTTGACCATGTTGCGGAGGCTGTATTGTTCTTAGCTTCGGATGATTCTGGGTTTATTACTGGTCATAATTTGATGGTTGACGGCGGTCAATCTTCTTGAAATCCCAAATTGGATTAATTTGTTTTACCTCCTCAGAGGAAACCTCTCTGTACTTCAATCCAAATTCGCCGGTCAGTGTAATAATTTCAAACATCCGACGTAGGATTATTTTGTGTAAAATGATTTTCCAATTTAAATTTTTACTTCAAACATTTTCTTCTGTCTCAAAAAAAAAATTTCACATCATATATTGAATTTTGTTTAGTTATAGTACAAAATATAAAAGTGAATTGTTTAGTTTTTGTTTTACAAAGATAGTATAATCATTTCAAATCGGAAAAATATGTACATAAAGTTAAAATTATTTATTTTTCTTTTTTTTTCCTTAAAAAGAAGAAGAAATATTTTTTTTTAAATTATACTAAAAATAAAAATTTAAACTGAAGACTATTTTGGACGAAGGGAATGCGAAATTGTATTATTCTCATCTCTTTTAGCTGTACTCCTCTTATATAGGGTCATTTTGAAAATCACAAATAGGGATGATTAATGTATACATCCTAACGTTTATACCCTACTAGCAAATTCTTCCTAAAGTTTTAGAATTTGTTAATTACATTTCAAGGTTATCAAAATTGAGCAAATCCATCCCATGACCTGCAAACCAACAAAAGTGACGTGGTATAACATGTAAAATCATTTGGATCACATATTTAAAATTTTTACTTCTGTTTTTTTTAAAAAAATTTTAAAACATTTTTTAGTTTATTGAAACAAAAAGTAGTTATAAATGGAGAAAATAAAAACTTTAATTTATTTATAATTAATCTAATTTATTTTATAATCAGATTAATCTTAATTTTTTGATAAAAATTAAAGAAACTTTCCAAAACAATTTCTTTATTTTGTGATGCATAAATTATTTTGATTAATTAATTAAGTTTTTCCAGTTTTTTTAATATAATTTTTTTTAATGAACTAAAAAATGACCAAAAAATTAAAAAATGAGAAAAAAATATGAGACCCAATAAATTTTTACATGTTATATTAGGTCATTTTTTGTTATTTTGCAGGTCATGGGATGTATCTGCTCAATTTGATAACTTTAGGACGTAATTGATCAATTTTAAAACATTAAGATAAATTAGCACACTAGTGTAAACGTCGAGATGTATCCACTCATTCACACACCAGAAATATATCACGCAATCGAGTTTGAATGAAGTTATTGAATAGGGTCATAAGCATCAGTTATCACACTATATTTTAACTTGCTCTTGACAACCTTTTCTTCGTATTATTGTTTCCCCGATTCCACTTTATTGAAATTTTATCTTCACCTGATCACCTGCTGCTGCTGACGGAGAAATTGCAACTCTATTTCATCCCCATAAAACAACTTAAATATGAAGTACTACAAACTGTTAACTAACACAACAATATGATTTTTTCTTTTTTAAGATTGCGAGTATTAGTTAAAAATATTCCTCCCGCCTCGTTTTAGTAATTCATTAATTGAATTACTCATTCCGATCATTAATATAAAATATTTTAATTTATTCTAAATTTCACGTAGTATATATTTTTAATTATTAAAAAATTTTAAAAATATATATTTTCATTCATTATGTTCTCTTGATTGTTAGAAAATATTTTTAAAATTTCTTTTATTAATTAAAAATACGTAATAGATAAAACCTATAACAGATTAAAAAAAAATCTTATATTAAGGACCATAGGAAATATTTTAATTGAGCAAATGAGTATACCATTAAAATGGGACATGAGTTAATTACTACGTATGCTACGGTCATTTTTAAAGGTGGACACACACCAAACGACAACGAGAGACAATGTAGTATATACTAACACAGCGACAACTACCTTCGCGTTTAAAAGGCGTGAACTCAATCCAGAAAGAGAGAGAAAAAACACTCAGCAATAACAAAAAAATCCACATTACATCACAACAATATAAGTAAACCTACACGAGATCACAATAGGATCCTAATTAACTAATTTAATCATCTCAGAAAAAAAGAAAAAAAGAAAAAGAAAAGAACAACACTAACTACAGAACACCAAATAGGAGGAAAAATCCCACAATCAAACCCAATCCAAGGTGCCTCAAACTCAACACAATACCAAAACACCCCTCATTCGCCAGGCTTCCACCGACGGTATTGGTGGTCAACACGAGCACCGTCCAGTCGTCTTCGGTTCCAATTCCAGCGCCGGTGAACCTCGTATTGTTGAGGAACCCGGAGTTCGGGGTCTGGGTATAGTTCGTCAGGACCAGGGTGGCTACCCGTTTGGACACGCAAACGGGCAAGATGACGGCTTCCTGGGTCGTGTTGGGGTCGATTTTGCACTTCTTGAGTAAGTCCGGGTAGTTGTTGACCACCGTGGGTGGTCCCGGTTTCGAGGCCAAGTAGCCGGTTGCCGGGCACGGTTTGTCCTCGATCTCGTCAGCGATTTCGTCGGCGAGGCAGTCGGCTTTGTCGTTCTTTTGAAGGATCTGGGCGTTGTGGGATTGCCGGTAGCTGTTCAGACCTTGCATGAGATGGTCTTCTTCATCTGTGCAAGGAAAAAAATGTAAAACTTCCTTTACTTCTTAATTACTACATATCATTTGTGCCGATTCAACAAAATTATACTCCCTCCATTCCAAAATTACTGTCCGGACTTAAATTTTCACTTTTAATTTAATTTGTATTATACTGAAATGCCAAACTGAACAATAATAATTTCCAAAGGGGAAATTAGTACTTCTTCTTCTGTCCTAAAATGAATGCATATACCCTTCGTTATACTAAGGAAAGGAATAATTATTTTGAGTCGGAGAAAACTTTAAATCAAACTCATGCATTTTAAGTTCACAAGTGGAAAAAAAAAAAAAAAGGAAAACAAAAAGCTCTTACCGTCACATAACGCTGGAACTGAGAACAGAAGAATGACGAACAAAGACAAATAAATGGCGAACCCAACCCTAAGACAAGCCATATTGATTCTTTCAACTACTTGAGAGATGACGAAGGAACTCTTTAGAAATTGCGCTTAAGCAGGGAAGAGGAAAATAGGAAGCAAGAACAATGTGATTCGGTTTTTAAACTCAACCATCCATTCCAAAAGTTTGAAAAACTACAAGATGGGCGGTTTGTTGTTTTGTGTTTCTTTTTTTTTCTTGGCTTGCCAAGGAAAAAAAAAAAGAGAAAGTGAAGAGATCAGTTGCAGTTTGCATGGTGTTCCACGTCGCAAACATGCAGTGTGTTTGAGTCGCCACTTGTCATTCGAACAACAATAAGTTTTGCTAAAACTCTGTAAATGTCTATCCTTAAAAAAAAGTTGTTTTTTAGTGGATTAAAGAGCCTATACAGAAAATGAAAGGCATGTGAACTAGAGTTCAGGGCGCGCCCGCGGGCCTCGTGATTCACTTCCCTAATCTGTTACCGTTGCCACAATTTATATTTATTCAATTACTCTATTACACTAAAAATAATATAATTTCAAAATTTAATGTTAATTACTTCTTCTGGTCCTTATTATACCGTGTATTTTCATGTTATTTTAAGTTTCACCTAGGATATTTTTTTTAATTAAAAAACAACCTTAAAAAATATATTTTTTAAGTAATTGTGTTCTCTCGATTGTTATGAAATGTTGTAAAGATTTTTTTGTCAATTAAAAATATGTACATCAAAATATTTTATATTAAGGATCGGAGAACGTTCTTTTACATAGAAATAAGAAAGAGTTAATGATCAGTTAGAGGTTTTTAACATTTGTTTGGTCCACACTTAAACCGGTTAAACCCTTAATTAATTTGAGTTTTTTACTTTAGATTTTTTGCTTCTTTTAGGTAGTCCGGTACTCTTAATTTCTCTATCAAAGATATTTAATTAGAAATATAATTGTGGGGGGATGGAGGACGTACAGTAAATTGAAATGAGGAGATTAGGGAAAAAAGAATACAACTATGCTATTATAAAAGAGAAATGAACATAATAATACTGAACCCCTTAAACAACTTAATAGCATTTCGTACCGTATCGGTTGCTGGTTACCACTTACCACACATGAATGATGCTAATTTCTTGATTCAGTCATTCACGGAAAATAAGATGTCCTTTTCTGATTATCAGTTTCTGGGATGCTTTTGAAACGTAAATGAGAAAAAAGAAATTAAAGTATTTTTCAAAATACCTTACATTTTACTTTTGAAATCACACATCTTAGGTTCGTTGAGATACACAACAATTGTACTGAAGAAAATTTAAATAACTCAAAATGTCGGTGGTAATTACACAGATTTCCATGAGAAAGTTAACCTTGAAGTTGAACATAAAACATTTTTTTAAAGAACTAATGTTTATACTTCATTTCTGTCATACCATTGCCTTTCGCTACTTATTCAGTTATTTTATGTACGTTTCATTTCCTTAAGAATGTAAAATTAATGTGCTTTCCATAATATAGAGCAAATTCCAAAGACAAATTCCTTACTTTTTCAATTCCAACAATGAAAATATTATGATGAACAAGAAAAACTTCTGATAGGTCACTGAAAACATACCACTGCATTGTTGATGTAAAGAAAACATGAATAAGAATGGAGTCCATAAATTGGTTGTGCTGATGAGTTTCATAAAGCCACAAATTTCTGTAGATAATCACATTCGTTTCATTCAAAACGTAAGCAAAACACAAAAATCGTACAACGAAGAATTTATTATACTCCCTTTGTGTGAAAAAAAAATTAATAATTTCTTTTGTCAAAATATTAATGTATGTATTTCTTAATTAGCAACGTATAGATTATTTTACGAGATAGAAGTACAAATTAGTGAAGTAAATATATTAGTTTCTCTTCTTTTTTGAACAGTGAATATAAAACACTAGTCAACCCTCATGAATTTCCCCGTGATTAATAGTTAAAGAGGAAGCCTATGCCTAAATTAAAATAAAATCACGTACTCCTTTTGATCCTTAATATATATAAGACACTTTGATTTTTCATAGGTTTCACCTAATATGTATTTTTAATTGACAAAAATATCTTAAAAATATTTCATAACAATCAAGAAAACATAACGAATGTAAAAATATTAAGATTTTTTTGTCAATTAAAAATATGTGCTAGGTGAAATATATGATAGATCAAAATATCTTTATCAAGAGGAGATACGTACAAACTGCTTATAACTATTATAAGTAATCATAAGTACAAGGAAAAATAATAAGGAATGATGTGTCAAGATCTTAAATACATAAACCCTGTTTAGAAAATTTAACAATAGACGGGTGAAATTAATTTTTTTTTTATCATTTTTTTCTTACACCAATCGTTATCCGACTATTATATGGTATTTCAGCAACGATATAACCAAACACCGGTTATCTTTATTTATTTTTATTTGGCTCATAAGCCCACCCCCACAGTGAGAGTTCCTACTGTTCCTTGTTCTTCCAGCAGCAAAACGAAAAATCCTGTTGCATGAGTGACGTGGGTCTCAACCAAACGTGTCATTTTCATGCAGCCTAATAAGCTTCATCAATGCCACGTTCCTTATACTACACAAACTACAAGTCATCATATGATCTGATTCATCAAACCCAAGTTTTCAATCTGTCTGTCTTTTGTAATCAACGTCAGAAAATCTCAATGGATATAAAACTGATAAACATCAATTCAGATATGTTATTATTATCCTCATACTCTTTCTCTATATATATATACTTCAAATTTCATTTGATTCTAATAACTTTCATGTCTATCAGGTTTCTGTCTTTCTCCAGAGTATTATCAGCTTCCTTTGTCACTTCTTCAAGACCTAAACTATCATCAATTTCTTCTCCTAGAAAGAAGAATATTCTATTACTTCCTTCTGTAAGAACAATTAGTAACAACATGGCATCAACTGGCGGCGAGAAATTCCCACGACAACAGCAAGAACAACCCGGAAAAGAACACGCCATGGAACCCGCTCCCAAATCCATCCAACACGACTACAAAGGATCCGACAAGCTCCGCGGCAAGATCGCGCTGATCACCGGAGGCGATTCCGGGATCGGCCGGGCGGTGGCGCAGTGTTTCGTCCGGGAAGGCGCCACGGTGGCGTTCACGTACGTGAAAGGGGCGGAAGATAAAGACGCCAAGGACACGCTCCGGATGCTGAAGGAGGCGAAACACCCCGACGCCAAGGACTCGATCGCGTTGCCGGCGGATCTTGGGTATGACGAGAACTGCAAGCGGGTTGTGGATGAAGTGGTGAGTAATTTCGGGAGGATTGATGTTTTGATCAACAATGCGGCGGAGCAGTACGAGACGCACTCGCCGGAAGAGATTGATGAACAGCGGCTGGAAAGAGTGTTCCGTACCAACATCTTTTCTCATTTCTTCATGGTCAGGTATATATATCAATATTAATATAATATATTCTCCCCGTCCAAAATTATTATCCAATTTGAGTTTTAATTTTTAGTATAAATTGTAGTAAAATTTCAAATTGGATAATAATTTTTGAGATAAAATCTCTATTTAGCTCATCTTGTTAGTATAATCGGTTCATTTTTTTTTTTAATTTACAATTACACTCTTTCGTTCCAAGTCTACTGTTTTAGTTTAATTTTATTGAAAATGGAAATTGATAAATCAGAATTAATTTCAAAACTCATCGTGAATTGGTATTATTATTATTATATTATTATTATTATTATTATTTTGGGAATAGAGGGTTATAAACTTGTGTTATCATGTCACAAGTCGTTACATATCTCTTGCATAATCGGATTTAAATCATGCAAGAAACGAAACAAGTGTATTTCTTCAAGTAAAATCCCTGTTATATGCATGGTATTGACATGTATAAAATGCAGGCATGCTTTGAAGCATATGAAGGAGGGAAGTTGCATCATCAACACGACATCCGTGACGGCGTACAAAGGCAGTCCTCAGTTGCTTGATTATACGGCTACCAAAGGAGCCATAGTCGCGTACACTAGGGCGCTTGCCTTGCATTTGGTCGAGAGAGGGATCCGGGTGAACGGTGTCGCGCCTGGGCCGATCTGGACGCCTCTGATCCCGGCCTCTTTCAACGAGGAGAAAGTCGAAAGCTTTGGGAAACAGGTGCCGATGAAGAGGGCCGGTCAGCCGGAGGAAGTCGCGCCGAGCTACGTCTTCCTGGCGTGTAACCACTGCTCTTCTTACATGACCGGCCAGGTCCTGCATCCTAATGGCGGAACCGTGATTAATGGTTGAATCGATTGTTGAACCGGGCCGCCGGTCTGGTTGACGAGCTGGGTAAAAAATGACGGGAGAGGAAAGCATCCATCCTCAGTGTGGGGAATGGGTTCCTTCTCTTTCTGTGTATTGATGTGTTTTGCTGGTAGTAAATAGTGTTCGTTTATGTACGTACGTGCCATCGTAATAATAACAACTTGTAGTTTATGCATCCAAGACGAACGTCTCAAACGGAACCTGGTTAACTAATTTTCCCGTTCATGTTTAGATTATGTTTATCGTGGAGAGAATAAGAACAAATTGCTTTTGTTTTTTTGTTTGTGTTTTTTTTGTTCTTGGCGACTGATTGTGAAGCGAATTCATGGGGACATGAGGAAAGGAATTTATGGTCGCTCGGGCTCAACTTATAGATGTAGTTCAATCTGGCGGAACAAACATCTTGATACCAACTCTTTTCTGTTTTTTCCCCGGTTAAGATACATAATTAACGGAAGGAATACTATCAGTTAAATGCTAAGAGTATAGTAAGGGCATGTTTGATAAAACTAACGTTTAATTCTAAATGCTTAATCAAATTAATGTTTATTCTAAATGCTTAATGCTGATTAGACACTGAACTTATTTAGCAGCTACTGAACTTATTTAGCAGCTACATAATGCGTAAAAAGTTAATTTTTATTGTTTATATTTTGTATTGCAGTTTTAACACTAATTAATTCATTATAAGATATTCATTTTTTTGTTATTAAACATGTTAAAATAAAAAAAATGCTTAATTTAATATTTAACTATTAAATGACTTTATCAAACAGTTCTTAAGTTAATTATTACTTTTTAAAACTATTTACTATTATATAGAGTGTAATAATTACCGTTATATAGAGTATAATAATTTGTAAATTCTCACAATGTATTGTGATACATTGTTTTATGTGTTATCATATACTCCATCCGATCTTTATTATAAGTCATTTTGATTTGTTTTAAATTTCATTTAAGATGATCTTCTAATTGATAATAAAATCGTAAACTTATATTTTCACATTTATTATGTTCTTCCAATTGTTATAAAATATTTTTAAAGTTTTTCAATTGATAGAACATCAATAAAATTTGCAGTAAATCAAAATGATTTATAATAAGAACGAGAAAGAGTAATTAATATGAGTTCACGATAACCGATAACAAATTATAGTTATTTATTTTAACAGAGTTATAATAAAAACCAATATATAACAAAGTTAAATAAAAGTGTGATATATTAAAAGAATAATGATATGACAATTTATTATATTGATTATTGTGAAATTTCTAATATGTAGTATATTTTTATTAATTTGGGGTCGGATTACGACATACTTGACCAATTTAAAAATTAACCACAGTCATATCAAAATATCTATAAACGATCTGTTTGTTAAAAAGAGAGAGAAAATTTATTGCACCAACGATGTATCTCGTAAAATTTTATAACAAGTTCTCACGTAATTTGACATAATAAACCGTTATTACATAACTACTTTGTATATAGGTACTAATCTATTTGATGTGATGGCGGTTCTAGTTAGTCCTAACTAGATTGGTGCGACAAGAGATTCGTGTTCGCTTTTGTATAAATTTGCAATATTATTTTAAAGCAATTGTTTTTCTTAAAAAAAGGAAAAATTGGTCAATCTATCCAAAAGTTGACATGTATTGTCAATTTTACCTTATTCTTTTTTGATTAGCCAATCTTACCCTAAGCTATCTAATCGTTAGCCAATTTTGTCTAATTTGCCAATTTCCGTTTAAATTAACGGAATTCTGTTAGTTTTAATTACAAAAATACCCTAATAGTTTTAAAAATTATAAAAATAACCTAAAAAATTTGTAAAAATAACCAAACAGTTTTTTTTCACTTTTTATTTAATTTTTTCTGTTTTCTATTTCTTTTCACTATTTCTCATAACTATAAAAATATATTATATAATCTTTTAAAAAAAGCTATTTATTTTTAAAACACTATTGTGCAAATTTATAGATACACATATTCGTAACTCATGGTTGATTTACATAAACATATTAATTTTTTTAATAATATGGTTTAACAGGAATGATATTATTTTTTAATCTATTTTTTCAGTCTAAAAAATAAGATTATTTAACTAAACCTAATTTTGCACAGAAAATAAAACATTTAGCATAGATTAATTTTTTTCTATTGGTATAATTTAATGTATTATTACAATATAATTCAACAGAATTTAGATTGTATTGTAAAATTAAAAAAATAATTAAACTAAAATATACATTTTCTTTAAAAGGCCAAGTACATTTTGTAAAAAAAAATGGTACAAAATATTTTATAAAATATGTATATTTATCATTGCGAGAGTTTAACATTTCATGATAATTTTTTTGAGATATTAATATCTAACTTTAGCAGGAATTTTTTTTTAATAATAATAAAAAAAATCTGCTCTAGTACTGGACTCCACCTTAAAACAAAAAAAAGATCGGCCCAGTGAGAATTGAGGCCTCGAACATAGTAATAATCATCTCCCATCTTAAATCACCTGACCATCCAACTCAACCCTCTCACCTTTAATAAATTATGCATAAATATAGATATAATCACTCTCCCGGTTAAAAATCTTCAGTGAGAATTAATCTTATATCTATTATCATGAAGCTCAACACCCTAACACTAGATTGTAACTATATTTTAGTTTAGTAATTTTTTTAATTGGATAATACAATCTATAGTTTGTTTATTAATTTGTAATAAATTAAAATGTACTAATATATTAATTTTTAATCTATGCTAAATGTTTTAATTTTTTGTAAAAAATTAGTTTTTAGTCAAAAAATATTATTCTTTAAATTGAAAAAAGGATTAAAAAACTAATATCATTATTGTCAAGTTATATTATTAAAAAATTAATATATTTATGTAAATCAACCATGAGTTACAAATATACGTATCTATAAATTTGCACAGTAGTGTTTAAAAATAAATAGTTTTTTTAAAAGATCATATAATATATTTTTATAGTTATGAGAAATAATAAAAATAAATAGAAAACAGAAAAAATTAAATAAAAAGTATAAAAAGACTGTTTAGTTATTTTTACAAATTATTAGGGTCGTTTTTATAATTTTCAAAACTATTAGAGTATTTTTTATAATTAAAACTAACAGAATTCCGTTTATTTAAACAAAAATTGGCCAATTGGACAAAATCGGCTAACGGTTGGATAGCTTAGGGTAATATTGGCTAATTGAAAAAGAATAGGGTAGAATTGACAACGCATGTCAACCTTTGGGTAGATCGGCCAATTTTTCTTTAAGAAAATATCATTTTGTGTTTTGCTCTGTTTTACTGTGATCGTACATTTTCGATTCTTTATACATTTAAAAACGAAAACCTAAATCCAATATTCCGAAACGAAAGAAATAATGTTTTGTATTGTACTGAAAGCTAATGTTTATTACGAGAGAAAACTATATTATGTGGATTTGATGGGTCACCGATCTTATTCATATGAGAGTTACTATAGTCATCGAGTGACATATCTATCTATGGAGTTATTTATTAAAATTTTTCACAATGAACTTGTTTAGTGCATTTGCAGTATTTTTTAATCCAAAAAGTATTTCTACTGGTGTTAGAAAAAAAATGATTTCATTTTGCAAAAGACTAGTGATATTGCCAAAGCAAAAATTAGTCGCCAGAGCAAAGATTGATTGTAGTTCCTCAATTATCCTTAATTGGGTCAAAGGCTAATGTATATCTTCCGCCATTCATCTGCCATTGCTGATTTTTTTTTTTTTTTTTTACCAACTCCTCCTTAATCCCAATATCACTATCTGCTGCCGATCACAAAATCACTCGAATTCGACAACTATGCATACTAGGTGCCACACCAATTATAATCCCCATGAATTACCTTCAAATGAACATCGTAAAGTTCAGCCCTTTTGAATATTTTAAACCCAACCCAAATTTTTGCACCAATTAAGTTGTTTCAAGTTCAACAATGAGCATTTTCATTTTTGCATTCCTAGACATCTCCAACTATGAATTGAAGGGATATACTCTTGATGATAGCAGCACATCCGGGCTCCAACCAGTTACCTAATCGCCCCGCACACATACATTCCATGGACTAAACTTGCCCAACACAATGATTCATATCAAACTAGAATATCCCAATCCCGTAATATTAAACCAGACTACTATACTTGCACAATTTTCAACTTTTTGATCCTAAACTGCGTGAATATATTTTGCTTCACTATTGAAATTTGAGGAATTGGGAAACCATTTCAGCATCTCTCACAAATTTGCTGATACTAATCATCAGAAAAAAACAAAGAAGAAGAAGATGAAGTAAAAGAAGATGAAATCAAGAAAATGTGAAGAAAGAGTCTTCTGGAAACTTGAACATTCATATTCACTCCTCTATTACAAATCATCATCTCTATATATATACATTCAATCTTCTAGAATGTGCCAGCTAACCAATTTGACTAAACTGACTTAATTTCCAGAATCAATCCTAGCCATCCAATCCTGTAACCGACTTAAGATTGGACGGTTGCTGCTTCTTCAATTCAAATACTACTTCCCACCAAGGCCTGTTGCTAAGATCAGGAGAAAGAGGAAAGCACGGCTGTGGATTAATCCAAGTAAGTTGAGCTGTCCGTGTTGAATTCCAACCAGCTTTGTTCATTTCCTGTACCCCCTCCTCAAGATGAGCGTTCCATAAGCTCATCTTGGACAACAAGAACTGAAAAATGGAGGAAGAAAGGGCCTTGGTGAACAAATCTGCAAGCTGCAGCTTGGTAGAAACATCAGAAGGAAGAATAAAACCCTTTTTAAACTGATCTCGCACTACATGGCAATCGATTTCTATATGTTTATTTCTTTCATGAAACATCGGGTTTGCAGTAATATCCAAGGCTGCCTGACTGTCACACCAAAACGGAATTGGAACTAATAAAGGGAGACGAAAATCAGTCAAGATGTAAGAAAT